AAACAAAAAAAAAAATATTTTCTTCTTCACACCTCTACTAAATGAAAACACTTCAAGACCATTATTTTTTCTTTACTATTTACCACGCATTTCTCTTTAAAAATCTACATATCAAAAATTACAATTACTATTAAAAAAAAAAACCCAAATATAAATAAAAAGATATTTAACAACTGCATAAAAATGTATTCCCTTCCAAATCTTTATTTCTTATCCAACTTATTCCCTTTTTTCTTTTTTTTTCTTTATCGATTTTGCTTATTTTTTAAAGCCATACGCTTACCTATATTTTTTAACTTATATATTATTATATCTCTTTTGTAAAATTGTCTCATTTTCAACCAAATTATTTTTTTTTTCAAAATTTAACACTATAAAGTATGGGGAAAATCTGGATTCAGAATATTTTTGTTTTTGTCATCTGCTTGACCACAATATTTTTGTTCATCAAATTGGGGATCAGAATATTCAGTTTAAGAAAAAAACATAACCCCCCCCCCCCCCTCCCCCTTGAAGTTAAATGGTCGTTCCCTTAGAACCATATAGAATGCGAGATTTGCAGTACAAATACAATAAATAGTTCGATACAATGTATAGTTGTTTTCCTTATACTGCAACTCTTAAAACTTCCAATTGATTTAGATGGTGCAGTATATAAACACAAATATCCATGCATGAGGCTATGGATGGAATTTTCTTTATTTCGATCAATTTCGTTTTTTCGTCCCACTATTCTCTCTCTCTTTTTTGTATTTCACTTTATAGTTTCCTCTTTATCTCTATTCTGTCAATCTCAACCAGAATACTCATGAATTGTCTCTGAACGTTTCGAGGTGCAGTAACAAATGAGATTTAAATACTGATGAGCTTATGTACATGTGTGTAAAAAAAAAGTAACCAGATTGAAAAAGCAGTTTCAATAAAATCGTTTAAATAATATTGTCCCGTTCAGTTGAGATTTGCATAATTTTTTTTAAATATCATGCTTTAACATCCCCACCCCACCCATTTTCATCGCAATCATTTAACGATCGGTAAATTTTACTTTTGTCTGTAAATCATTGGTTAAATCTTAATCGGCTGATAAAGTAATGAAAGCGTTTTATTAAGGAATTGGGTGCTTCTTTTTATATTTTTTTTTGGCTTGTAAAAGTGTTGACTGAAGCACATTTTGTATGAAGCGGAAGCACGATCAACGCTTCCACAATCCTATACAATTATAAAAAGAAGCATTCAATCTTTATAATTACATTATTATGCTACAACCATAAATTAAGAGTTATATCAAGTTTTTAGTTTGATTTTCTACGCACTATTTCAACATTGTCACGGATAGCACGTGCAGTCATATCTGTTGTATTTTATACAGAATAACATATGATCTTGGAGTGCCTTGCGATTGTTGGCAGACAATCAAAGTTACGGATTCTAATGATTTCAATTGATATTTATAGTTTGTTTTTATGGTGTGCTGTAACACCACTGTCCCATTTTAGGAGGAGTTTTGAGCGCTCACAAACTTGTTTAACCCCGCCACATTCTGAATGTGCCAGTCCCAAGTCAGGAGCCTGTAGTTCGGCGGTTGTCGTTGGTTCATGTCTGTCATATTTGTTTTTCGTAAATTGTATTGTTATAAATTAGGCTGTTAGTTTTCTCAATTGAATAGGTTCATTTTTTTCATGTCCGTGGTAGGGTGGGGGTAGGGGATGTGGGCGTGTGGCTTTTATAGCCGACTACACAGTGTGGGTTTTTCTCACGGTTGCCTATAATTGCTTACATCCATGCCACTTCATTTGAACTTTGGATAGTTGTCTCATTGCACTCACACCACATCTCCTTAGTTTTATATGTGATGTAATTATATAAATATAGAATAATTATACATTGTCTAGAAATATTTAATTTATTTCTAATATGCTTAGAAACAGTTCAATACGAGGCTTTGCTTATACAGTTTATATTTCGAGACAATGTATAGTTGTACTGTTTATACTGCAACTCTTACAATTGTTCAGTACAAATGTAATGTTTTGGGTAAAAACCATTCAATTTGAATTTGAAGCGGACGACGTAAATATTCTGCGAACCTGTATGCTCTATATTTGTTATAAATCTTACTCTATGGAAACGCATTGTCGTCGTCATAAACACGCTGTCAGTGACTGTACATAATAGTATGGGTTCCTGACACAACTTCAATATTCTCAATACCGTAAGCGGACTTCTGGTTCGAATAAAGCTATATTAGTTATATTTGAAGTGAAGCTTGTGAAATCGAAAATTTTTTACCAGGATTCCAGGTTACTGTTGATAACAAATGAATACACGGTCAATGCAATTTGACTGCGCAAATAGCTCAGTTGCGGTATTAATATTTTAAAGTTCACGATTAGAATGAAGACATTATTTTCAATGGTCCGTCCAGAGAGAGATCCATACTCTCAGTACCAACTTCCAAGGAAGAATCGAAGGTCATAAATTGGGCGTTCACTTCCGATGTTCAGAGAGCCGACAATTTTTGCTTCAAGAGTTGTATCAGTACAATAAATCCCTTGCAGTAAGTAACAGTACTTATGTCTCCAGGGTTACATTTTAGATATGTTGAAGATTAGAGAAAAGGTAAAAATTTTCGAAAACATAAGAGTACCTTCCATGCTAATGAGAGGCAATTTAAGGGGGGGGGGGGGGCTTAAAATTGAAAATTACTGAAAGATAGTTGATTTTTTCTTTCTTTATATTTATACTTCTATAAATGTGCATAAGGATTGATTGATGGATTTTTTTGCCTTACGCAGCCTTAGCACAAAAAGGCTATATCGCGGCGAGAGCTAATTCAAATATTTTTACAAGATACTGCTTAAAAATCAGACAAAAGGTCCTTTAATATACTATCACATAAGTTGAAAGCGAAATGACTTATTTACAAATAAAATTCAACACAAAGATTATGTGATAAAAATTAAGATCATTTTAAACTAAAAACAAGTGTGAATTAGAGGGGGGAGGGGGAGGTTGGGGCGTAGAGTCCGTACTTTGAACGCAAAAAAAAACTCATGTTGTTCACGATATATATGAATTTTTAGTATGAATCGTCCAAAAAATTTACGCATCGCTCCGCTCGGCGGTAAATTATCAATTATTGCGAATTACGACTCTTTTAAAAAATTCCTGCATCCGTCCCTGCAATTACACTTACATAGGCAGTATTGTTTTATTTCAAAACATGTGGACATGCTAAAAATTGAGATTATGCTATTGTCCTTTTACATGAACTTTAAAGTGTATTATTTTCGTGTTATATTTGTCACAATCTAATTTTGTTGAATGCTAATACAGATTTTATTTGAATTGAGTGTGTTTTATGAAATGAATATAAAAACGTGTGTGTACTATGTCTTTCTAATTTTTAAAAATAATTTTAAAATGTCCCAAAGAATGTATTTTATCCAAAAGCAGCAAAATTTCCGGAATAATAACTTTCACCTATTCTCTACACTATTAAAAAAAATTATTCGACATTGTCATAGTATATAGACCGAAAAGATGGGGACAAACTTCTGAAAGTGACAAGCAAAAATAAAAGTTCTACAGTCAAATAGTCAGTGTCATCCTTTATTTTTAATTTTTTATTTATTCAATAATAGTATTTGGCCAAAAAATGGAAAGGGAAGGGGGGGGGGGGGGGGGGGGGGGGGGGGGGGCAAAAACATAGTTTTGCCTTCCTTGTCCCCTTACGCCAGTGAATTATAATAACGTAAAGAGGTATCGATGAGTAAATCAGAGTGCATAATTCAGCATGTACCGCAGACAATATTTACTTTGTGAGTCTTCAATCAGAGTTACAATCAGTGCAATACTATTTAACTCTCAGCAACGGCAACAATAAAAAAATCTGCAGCTTTAATCACGGTCATTCTAATATTAGTTTGTAGTGTGTTGTTTAAATCCACTTATATACTTATATTTAGAATAACAATTCATTGTCTTGAAATAACATTTACTTATCTAAGGCTTCGAAAGAAAAAGAAGGCGAGACTTTGCCGAGTACAACTAAAAATATATTTATATAAAGTATATTTAGAGACAATTTATGGTTACTCTCTTTATACTGTAACATTTACGACTGTCCAAATAAAATGTTTTGGGTAAAAACCATCAATTTTATATATGAAGAATGCGAAGTAAAAATTCGGCAAACTTGTATACTTTAATCACGTCATAAATAAAACTCCACGGAAACTCATTGTCAGCGTCATAGAGAAAACGATCTATGAACGACCAGTGACTGTATGTATCGCAAATGAATATAATACTGTCATTACAATCTGACTGTCCAAACAGCATAGTTTCAGTATGACATACGTACAGGGCACATTGTACTTTTGGCCACCAAGGCCCCCTTTTACTAAACAAATGATAACAACTGTTCAAATTTCAGATACTAGAAAAATACAAACAGTTTTTTTATTATACACGTATCTGTGTACGCTCTATTAATTCGAAATATTATGTCTTTAGAAATATTTTTATTCTTTAAATATACTAAGCGGGGAATTGCATGTTGACTGCCACTCGAAAATGAGGGCATGTTGGTGAGGGACCCTTCAGAGAGTTGTTGCAAAGCCGGGTTCTTTACATGTAATTAATTAGTAGAGATATTTGCACTCTCCCTACGCAAGGTATATGATATAACGTCCTAATTTCAAACACTGCGTATTGTATTATACATTATATATTTCCATTCCCCAATCGATCCTTAGGGTTTACTAAAAATACAACACACAAATAAAACAAACAAAACACTGAATTACAAAACGAAAGAAAAGCAAAAAAACAAAAAAACAACAAAAATTTCCAAAGCTGTGCACTTTACATTCGAACCAATACAATAGCATGATAGATCAACATAAGAGGTGTAATATTTCAGTATGGTATTACAAGGCACGGAAAAAACAGGTATAAAACTGCAGCTTAGGAAAAGTGTATACGTGTTCGGACAATACTATACAGCTAACAAAACAAGAGAGTTAAATCCATTGAAGGCAATATGTTTGTTTTCTTCTATGTGTCTTTTCTGGTTTTGTGCGGAGAAATAAACATGACTCTAGGATCAAAGTTGGGTACGTATATTTCTTATGTTTATTTGCGCTAAATAGTAAAATAAAATATATCTTAAAATATGGTATCTCTTATGGTTGTGGCCTGTTATCATATAATATATATATATATACATTTGTTTTTCACTCGTTCCGTTGGTTGATAGCGTTTGATTTTATCAGTTTTCATATACTTCCCCTTTTTGAATTTACCTTTGAGTTCGGTATTTTCGTTATATTTTTTTTTTTTGCCCAGATGAATTTTAATGCTCATCGCACTTTTAAAAAAATATTTGCCTTAAACAGTTGGCTAATAAGAAAAAAAATAAGCATATTTTTTGCTTGGTTGACATGGTTTCTTTTAGAGGGATTCAGTTTATATGCAAAGCAGCAGTAAACATTAAGTTGTTGTTAATTTAACAATGATCCATGTAAAGTCGTTGCCGAACTTACAACTATTTACTAAAACACTGGGCCCAAATGTGCGAGATAAACATTACAATACATAAACATAAAAAAGGATTATCCTTTTTGGAAGTTTTATATTTTCCTTTTTTTGTGTCAAATTATCGGATAATGATGGTTCGAATGGCCCCAAGTCTTTGCATGTTACATTCTGTTTCTTTAACACATTTAGGTGAACAATTTCGGAAAGAAAATAAGGCGATTACTGCGTTGTATCAACATTTTTTTAAAGTGAAAAATAATTCATTTAGAATCATGTCAGCTATTTTTTTTTTCATTTTCTATGTTTATTTATTTACAGCCTGTTCAGAGAAAACTAACATTGTCAACAAACTAAAATTGTTCTGTAGGGGCATTGGAGATGGTGACAATCCGGGTGAGTCAAATTTTTGCAAAATCTTCCGCATTTTCTTCAGGCTATTGGGTCACAATATATATTTTGTAGAACTTATATTGCTTAATTTCAGACGGAGTATATATAAATGGTGTTTTGTACTTAAATCAGGCCGTTAGTTTTCTTGTTTGAATTGTTTTAAATTTGTCATTTCGGGGCCTTTTATAGCTTTCTTTGCAGTATGGATTTTGATTATTGTTGAAGGCCGTAATGTGACATATAGTTGTTAACTTCGATGTCATTTGGTCTCTGGTGGAGAGTTGTCTCATAGGCAATCATACACATCTTCTTATTTTTGGTCATTTGGTCTCTGGTGGAGAGTTGTCTCATTGGCAATCATACACATCTTCTTATTTTTGTATTAGCCCTGTATAACCATATGTTATCCGATGGAGAACGACTGTCGTAAAGTTGTCACACATGTAAACGTGTATACGAGTCTCAAGAAAACAACCAACCAGTAAATTTAATACATATCGTATCGTCTAACGATGAAGCATTTACAGAAAAAGTCTTATGAATTGTGCAACGATACTGATAAAAGATATAAAGAAAATATATGAACAAAATGAAATGAAATCCTATTGTCAGATATTTCGGCACAACAAAAGGCTTTTATCAGTGTCGGTCCCTTTTTAATTTTAATAAAACGGTTCACTGTATAGTTGTATAAGACAAGAGCGTGATAATAAGTCAGACCTGGTATAAACAAAATTCCATAGTTTGTAATAATTTATCACTAATGCAATTTAAAAAAAATAAGTGATTTCAATGACAAAAAGGAAGATGATTTAGGTTTTTTTAATACCTCTGAATGCTGAAATTGCATTACATTTTTCTTTTCCAGTGAGGCCCAGTGGTAGGTCAGTATTCACAGCTTCTGTGAGTAAGAGGAAATACGTGGTAAAAGGAAATATCGTGAGATTTGACAAAGTATGGACCAACATCGGCAATAATTATAATCCACGATCTGGTGTATATACAACCCCAAAGGATGGTGCATATCATTTCTCTTGTACAGTAATGTCTCAAGGGCGAAATGGTATTCGGGTCAATCTGTGGAAAAATGACGAAAAGACTGTTGCAATTTATTCAGTTGGTGCTTACGGTGGAACACTGAATATGGCGCTTGACCTAAAAAGGGGAGACAGAGTATACATTAAACAAAGTCATGTTGAAAACTACATTTATGCTGAACCTGAATATCATTTCAGCATGTTTTCTGGCTTTCAAATTTCATGAGAAATTTTATGACCTAGATCGAAATGTCTGTATGAAGAATATAAATATACAATAAATACGTTTATACGTTTGACCATTTTGGTTACTTCAGCTTTTTCACGTTTGTATTAAGTTTAATATTTTTTTCAAATATTTGACCTCCAGTATCTTTGATGACACATTACTTGTCCAGATGCACATCTGATGCAGTAAAATTGGTGCAGTTTTTAATGTTCATCAAATTTAGCAATTTAGATTTGCAAACATTAAATCTCAAATTTGATGCCCGCCAATCTTCAAATACAATACTATTATCACCATTCTAATTCAACCGAACAAAATCATTGCTAAATCATACATGCTCATTCCTAAACGATGTTTGGTCGGTGTCTTATATATAAAACAAACAATTAAAAGTTTTTAATTTCTTATGATATGAATACATACCAAATATTTAAGCATTACAGAAAAAAAATCCTGGGAAAGAACTAGACGGACGGACGGACACAAAGTCCCAGTCGGCTTGGTCGGTTAGGAACTAAAACATCACAAAATAAAACATTCATTTTTGGTTATCGTGCTTTTTGTGATGACAATGACACTCAAAATTTGAAATTTCAGCAAATAAGTATTAGTAAGCTATAATAGGTCCAGAAATGACAAATGTAAACAATTCAAACGAGAAATCTCAATTTTATCTAACGATGAGATGCGGAAGATACCAAAGAGACATTTCCACTCATAAGTCAAAGATACACTGACAACGCCATGGCAAAATACGAATATAAACATGTAATGAAGTATAATTGCATTTACTTCTACATTGTTCTATTCTTCAAGAATTGATAAACATTCTGTATATGCTTGCCTCAGGGGTTGTCGTTAGTTCCTGTCTATCATATTTGTTTTTCGTTTATTGTTTTGTACATAAATCAGGTCGTTAGTTTTCTCGTATGAATTGTTTTATATTTGTCTATTCGGGGCCTTTTATAGCTTGCTTTGCGGTTTGGGTTTTGCTCATTGTGTAAGGCCATACGGTGACTTCTACGTCATTGGTTCTCTAGCTGGTTGAGGGATTTTTCATTGGCAATCATACCACATTTTCTAATTTGTATACGGGAAATCATATTAATTTAAGGATTATGCATAGGTCGGATTGCTTGTCCTAGTTTGGCTATACTTTTGTCCCTCTCGAATTATATCGGTCCTTCGACATTGGTATTAAACTTTGGAGTTCCAAACATTTTGACCTCCAGCATATCTGAAGACACATTTATCGAGAAGCAGTAAGACGGTCACATACTTGTTTCGTTTGTCGTAACTAAACCCCTTTCCTTACCGGAGCACCTTAATTCTGCATGGTGAAGTAAATTTGAGAATGGAAACGGGGAATGTGTCAAAGAGACAACAACCCGACCAAAGAGCAGATAACAGCCCAAGGCCACCAATGGGTCTTCAACACAGCGCAACCGGAGGCGGGCTTCAGCTGACCCCTAAACACAAATGTGTACTAGTTCAGAGAAAATGGACGTCACATTAAACTCCGAAACATATGAATTAACCGAAATTAAAAAACACACAAGACTAAAAATGGCCAGAGATACCTGAATTGGGACAGGCGCAAAATTGCGGCGGGGTTAAACATGTTCTGTGAGATCTCAAACTCCCCCTATACCTCTAGCCAATGTAGAATAAACAATTACACAGCAATACGCACAGTTAAACTGTTTAAAAGAAATATAGGTAACAGAAGAAACTAAGCAAAATGACAATGATAACATAAATTAACAAAGGACTACTAGCAGTTACTGACATGCCAGCTCCAGACCTAAATTAAACTGATTTAAAGATTATGTCTTCATCATATGAAGATCAATCAGTATCCCTCCCGTTAGGGGTTTAGTATCAAACAATCATAAAATATATGAGAGGAACATAACCCGTATCATGCCAACAACTGTTTTTAGAATAAATGTGTTTATTTCCGATGCAAAGACCCTATGAGTGAATCAATATTAATTCCAAAAAATATCATCTTTAATGACCTGACAATAGTATTGTAACTATGTCCCTTCTGAATAAGTCTGTTAAAAGGTTTGGTTAGCTTTTGAAGTGAATGACAACATTTTTGTGCTTTGTTTAGAATATTACCATAACAGATTGGATGTGAAATACCTAAATGTATAAGATGTCTGCACGTTGATTTATATGTACGAATGAGTTTACATTATGTCCTTGTACTGATGATAAAATTTAGAGTAAATGTTTTGACAAGTTTGTGATATCGAAAAACCTGGTGTAATAATTCAAGTGATTGTTTTAAAGTACTCAAACATTCAACCTCTCCACTTAATTGTGACTACCTAGAGTCATGTCAATGTTTTTGTGGTTCTTTTTTTCTTTTTTGGTGTTGATGATAGTCTCTTTTAACTATAGTTACTACTACAGACTTGGGAAACGATCTAAGAACTTAAAGGGGTACTAGCTGTCGAAATCATATTCAGCGGTTTGATTCAAATTCTCATATTTGATTTATAACATACTAAAACACATATGCAACTTATAATAAGTCTTATATAAACAGTAAACAGTGCATATACTAGATAATACATATCAGAATTTCTTGTGTATTTTAGACTAGACGCCATCTAATTAACTATCGAGCTGACCCCGAAAACTGCCGACGGTCACATAACACGATATAAACATAAACATAAATATAAATAGCCATGGTCCTCGTGCAAATGGAATTTTATATGTCTATCTGATTTCATGTTTTAGGTTAAGAAATAAGCTAATTTTCGATTTTACCTGTATAAGAATGATTTTTTAGTGGATCGAATCAGTCATTCAAATGATTTACCTTTGTTTCACTTTCAATGTTGACATTCTTTTCTTTTGATAACCGAACACGCATCAATCATGTGTAATCCATCTCTAGCTAAGGGGTTAAATTGAAGTTCATATGAATACGGATTCAATGAGGTCGAATTATTCACTTGCAAGTTGATAATTCATCATCGATGTTTCCTAGCTTATTTTGACAAAATTGAACCATACTGGCTGCTAAAAGCGAATTATTGTTTCACTATTTCACTTTCATTAATGATTGAACAAAAAAAAAATCAGAATTTGATTTTTTTTTAAGTACCTCGTAGCTAGTGCCCCTTTAACACGATCATGCTAAATCTAAATTTACCGCAATACTTCTTTTAGATATGATTACAGGAAAACATAGTTTGGTTGTTAGTCATCTTTTGTTATCTCTTAAATGCAAATATAACGAAACATCTAATCAATATGGCCTGTCAAAATTTTACACTTACACCGTCTCCAGGTAAACAGAATAAATACCAGTTTAAAATTCTATTGATTTGTTTACTTATTTAACATATACACATTCCAAATTGAAAACAAACTGTTGAACAATCAGCTCTATTACGACCAAATGAATCAAAATGACATGATACTAGAGTCAATTATCTTCTTTCTTCTCTTTTTTCTATGTTAACAACTCTCTCGTTTGCCTCTTCGGCGCCTCTTGCTCTGCCTTGAATCATTAGCATGCCTTCTTCAGATAAAGTAGAAGTTATTCTGTCTGCATCGATGTTCTAAAAGAGAAATTAAAAAGGGTTACAGCTTGCCAATGACATGAATGGATATGAAAAGGATTAATTAGCAATCATCAGCATAATGAAAATGGAAATAAAATAAATCAAATGCCGAGTATACATAAGTATAAATCTTGAATTCCAGCAAAAATATAATGGCCCAATCCTGCTCCCGAAAAAAGTCCTTCCGCCCCTTATCAGATTATTTATTTCGAATCATAGAGCCATTCCCATTATCTTGGAATATAATTTCACTTCAGAAACAAATAAAATGCGAGTTGAGAGAGAGGCGGAATATACCATACACTTGAAAACAAACAAGTGTACAAAACACAACATAATAAACTTAAAAGACTAAGCAACACCAAAAATCGAGGTGATCTCGTATACTCCGGAAGGGTAACGGATCCTACTCAGCATTTGGCACCTGTCGTGTTGAACTTCATAATTTTACGTCTATGTATTCAAATGTTTAGATCTGGTTTGCTCGATTGCTGTGCAAATACATTTTAAGTTTATTAAGAAAACTTTAACCAAATTACCTCTGGAACAACAAATTCTCGCGTGAATTCTCGTGTAATGAAACCATAATTGTCTTCTTTCTGTTCATGCTTTCCTTTGATGATCATTCTGTCTTCAGCTATGGTGACATTAAGTTCCTCCGGTGAATACATAGACACGTCTAAATTTATTTCTAGCTTCTTGCTGTCGTATTTGACCTAATGTAAATATTGATTTCAAATTAACAATTTAGTTTTCCTTCGATTTTGACATTTTTTTTTTTTGGCAAACTGATTTAAAGTGTCCGAATGGGATTTTTTTCACTGCGATAGGAGAAATAACATTTAACCCGCGTTTGCTAGTTTATACTTGTGCATGCTTTAAATCATATCCGAGAATATATACTAGTATTACCTATTCTAACATCGGACTTGGACTTCTTTTAAACTGAGTTTTACTGTGCGTATTGCTGTGTGATTGCTTATTCCACATTGACTAGAGGTATAGGGGAGGGTTGAGATCTCACAAAACATGTTTAACCCCGCTGCATATTTGCGCCTGTCCCAAGTCAGAAACCTCTGGCCTTTTTTAGTCTTGTATTTATATTTTTTTATGTTGGTTCATTTGTATATTTCGGAGTTTAGTGTGACGTTCATTTTTACTGAACTAGTATACATTATTGTTTAGAGGCCAGCTGAAGTCCGCCTCCAGATGAGGTATTTTCTCGCTGCGTTGAAGACCCATTGATAGCCTTGGGCTGTTTTCTGCTCTTTGGTCGGGTTGTATCTTTGACACATTCCCCGTTTCCATTCTCAATTTTATTAACGTTCCATCGGATGTTTGTTTACAAGCTATCTTATTCTTGTCTTTATACATTTATAATGAGTGAATTCTAAATTTAATTTTCTTTTTCCAAATTCAATTACAATAGGGGTACCACCATTTGATTTTTTGGGGAGGGGGATTTTGAAAATGATTACTGAATTAGCTTAGTTAAGAATTAAACATAAATGAATTTGCACAAGACGATGAAAAGGAATATTCTGCAACATAAAATGCAGGATAGTTAAGCGGGTACTTCTAAATGATCACAAATGTGTACAAAAGTGAAAATACATTTTCGTGCGGAGAAGCCACGGAAAAATAGTAAGCCTGGCAACAGATTAAAATAAAAGATTAATCCGGAAAAAAATCATCCTAACCCAAGAATATCAAATGGTCGTCCACTTACAATAAAAAAAAACCCTTAAGACTTACTTCTGCAACTTCCGATTTCGCAAATGCCTCAGCTACGTCGTTTGATCTGACATAATCTTCATTATACCATGGCCTTCGGGTAAAACTGTCAAACGCATTCGCCATATCCCGAAACTGAGATTCAACAGGTTTGACGAAAAAGTTGTCATTTCTAACGGAATCCCCGGGATCTCTTCGACGCCCAAACATTGGTACATTTCTCCTGGAACTCATCCACCTCGGACAGCTGGTTATCTGGCGGTATGCTCTGGGAATAAATCTCACCAACATCTTTGCAGCTTGTCGTTATTTCTGATGAAATTCTTCAAGGGTTTGCAAATAAATAGTCAGCTGATAAGAAAACATGCAAATGCATGGTCGATTTTAATTTTTTATTTTATTAACTTCAAGGTCTGCTATTGGGGAATACTTGTTTTTATAAGGAAAAGCCCGAGTATATCCGATCGAATTTGAAAAATTAATTTGAGTTATTTCCCTTTACCCATGGAATTGTTCAAGTTAATTCATTTCAGACAAATGAATATATAGTTGAAAAAAAAGATAACAAAATCAATAAAAGAAGAATAATAATAATATATCATACACTAACTGTGCACCACTTATTGTGGACCTTTTTTTGTATTGCTATGAGTTACAATTTATGACAAAAATCAGCAAAGACCCATCGAAACAACATCTGATACACAAATTTAATAATACTTTTAGATATTTGGATGATATTTTGGCTCTCAATAATGACGACTTCAGTATGTATACTAAAGAAATTTATCCTGTTGAACTTACTTTAAATAAAGCTAATACTAACAATGACCACTGCTCTTTCCTCGATCTTGATATCTATATCATTAACGGAAAGCTTAATACTAAAATTTATGATAAAAGAGATGATTTTTCATTTCCTATCGTTAATTATCCATTTTTAGATGGTGACGTTCCCTTGTCACCATCTTACGGTGTTTATATATCTCAACTTGTACGATTCTCTCGTGTATGTAACAATGTCTTAGATTTTAACGAGAGAAATTTATGTATTACTGAAAAATTATTACACCAGGGTTTTCGATATCACAAACTAGTCAAAACATTTACTAAATTTTATCATCGGTATAAGGACATCATTCGTAAATATAGCTCAACATGCAGACTTCTTATACGTTCAGGTATTTCACATCCAATTTTTTATGGAAATATTCTTTATAAAGCACAAAACGTCAGTATTCACCTCTGAAGCTAACAAAACCTTTAAATAGACTTATTAAGAAGGGATATAGTTACGATACTGTTGTCAGGTCATTAAAGATTGCATATTTTGGCGTTAATATTGATTCCCTTATAGGGTCTTTGCATCGGCACTAAACACATTTATTTAAAAACCAGTTGTTGGCATGACACGGGTTATGTTCTTCTCATATATGTTATGATGGTATGATACTAAACCCCTAACGGGAAGGATTGTGCCTGATATTCATATGATGAAGACATAATCTTTAAATCAGTTTAATTGAAGTCTGGAGCTGGCATGTCAGTTAACTGCTAGTAGTCTGTTGTTATTTATGTATTATTGTCATTTTGTTTATTTTCTTTGGTTACATCTTTTGACATCAGACTCGGACTTCTCTTGAACTGAATTTTAATGTGCGTATTGTTATGCGTTTACTTTTCTACATTGGCTAGAGGTATAGGGGGAGGGTTGAGATCTCATAAACATGTTTAACCCCGCCGCATTTTTGCGCCTGTCCCAAGTCAGGAGCCTCTAGCCTTTGTTAGTCTTGTATTATTTTTAATTTTAGTTTCTTGTGTACAATTTGGAGTTTAGTATGGCGTTCATTATCACTGAACTAGTATATATATTTGTTTAGGGGCCAGCTGAAGGACGCCTCCGGGTGCGGACATTTCTCGCTGCATTGCAGACCTGTTGGTGACCTTCTGCTGTTGTCTGTTCTATGGTCGGGTTGTTGTCTCTTTGACACATTCCCCATTTCCATTTTCAATTTTACATTTAATTATGACTTTACTTCAGAATCCCTATAGACAGTCATGTCGGAAACCCAGTGAATCACTTGTCTGTTAAAAATGTTTTATAACCATTCTACATGAAAAATTCACCAATCAAAATTATGTTATTTCCATCAACCCAAATATTTGGTTATTAAAAAAAGGTAGAACTATGCACAATTTAGCTCTATAATGCATTCTTCTAAATTCTAGTCATAATTGATAATGTCATACGAAAATAAAAGCTTACTGTTATTAGTCTTTCTATTGTATAACAAAATATGAAAGTCAGTAAATTTAACTTAAAATTAATAATAAAATTGAGAATGGAAATGGGGAATATGTCAAAGAGACAACAACCCGACCAAAGAGCAGATAACTGCCGAAGACCACCAATGGGTCGTCAACGCAGCGAGAAAATCCCGCACCCGGAGGTGGTCCTCAGCTGGCCCCTAAATAAAATTGTATACTGGTTCAGTAAAAATGGACGTCACACTAAACTCCAAGACATATAAAGGAACTAAAATTAAAAAAACATACATGACTAACAATGGCCAGAAGCTCCTGACTTGGGACAGGCGCAAAAACGCGGCGGGGTTAAACATGTTTTGTGAGATCTCAATCCTCCCCTATAACTCTAGCCAATGAAGAATAAAGAAACACATAGCAATACGTACAGTAAAACTCAGTTTAAAAGAAGTCTGAGTCCGATGTCAGAATAGGTAACAAAAGAAACTAAGCAAAATGACAAAGATAAACACAATTTCTGTGAAAACTTTAGACCTGACCTGATATTTGACCAAGTAACCCCAAAACCAAACAGCTTTAGACATTCACATTTGGTAGACAAGACTTTTTCAACTGATTTTCATAGTTGGTTCTGTTACACCACTTTAGGTTAGGGGAAGGGTCGAGCGCTCGAAATTTTAATGGTTCAAAGTTTCAATAACTTAGTACTTAAAAGATTTTTCAAAAATGTTCTAAACATTAATCAAATCAAAAAGAGATTCAGCACTCCACGTTAATGTAAAGAGAAATTTTGAAACGACTTTGTAAATATTTTCTAAATTTTTATTAATTTTACATCGAAGGATACCAACAGTCATTGCGTCTTGAACATGCATGACATATTTTCCACTGGACTAAGCAACCATCAATCAATCAAACCAAAAGTAATTGATTTATGTCTGAAAGGCAATGCTTATTTTTGTGCTGTGTTAAAATTTTCCTTATTATCAATTTTTGTTGGAACGATACTCGGCCTGATTATCATTTCAGTATGTTTTCTGGTTTTCTCATTCAAGTTCGTGAGTAACTTTCTGAACTAAATCAGAATATGTGTGAAAAATATATTTATGTGATAAAATACAATTGCATTTACTTCTACTTTCATCTATTTTTGATGAATTGGTTAAAGATGGGAAATCATTTTAATTTATGAATGTGCATAGTCGGGTTGTTGTCTCTTTGACACATTCCCCATTTCCATTCTGAATTTTATAGCTCGGATTGCTTGTCCCAATTTCCCAATTTGGCGACACTTTTGTCCCTCTCGGATTATATCAGCTATTTGATATTGTTATTAGGCTTTTGATCACCTTAATTCAGCAAGGTGAAGTGATTGTTTTAAGTACTCAAACATTCGACCTCTCCAAGTTATTATGACTATCTAGATAGTGGTTGATTAAGACACTTAGGATTACACTTCCTTTTTGAGAAATCTGGTAGTGTCATAAAGCTACTGTATATCAAAACATATGTGTAAATTGACAATTCAAAATATTCAAGAACTAGAAGAAACTAAGAATGAAATATTTCTATTCCTCAGTCGACCCTTGTGGTTTACTCAAAAACGAAAATAAGCAAAAAATCAAAACAAACAAAAGAACACACACAAAAAAAAACAATAAAATGCTCCGCTGGGCGCAGCTTGATACGACCGCAGAGGTCGAACCCTGAACAGTTGGGGCAAGTATGGACACAACATTCAAGCTTGATACAGCACTGAATTTGGATTGTGATTAAATATTTGACACAGCATAGGTTTCTGACACAGAATGAATGTGGTCTAAGGACTTAAAAAATTTTAATTTACCTATTCAAACCATATCATTATTATTTGCTTTTATATATACTGTAAATCGAAAATAACCAATTTAAAATGGAAAATTTTAAAGAAAAAAAAAAGAAAAAAAGGAAAAAAAATCCCTCCCCCAAATGTTTTGAACCCCCTTATGATTCATCACCCCCAAACAGCCTTCCCTTTGTGATATGGTACCTTGCAGTACAATTCAGGAGAGATCCATACACTTGAACACAAGTTATTGTATGGAAACTAGAAAAATGATTGTTTTTAGGCCCCTTTTTGGCCACAAATTCCTACACGTTTAGGGCAATTACCCCCAAACTCAAACCCAGCTTTCCCTTTGTGATATAGAACCTTGTAGTACAATTTCATAAAGATCCATACAATTACACACAAGTTACTGTCCTGAAATTATAAAATTGCTTGTTTTTTGCCCCTTTTTTGCCCCTAATTCCTAAAATTTTGAGACAATTACCCCCAAAATCAATCCCAGCCTTCCCTTTGTGGTATGGTACTTTGCAGTACAATTTCAGAGAGATCCATACACTTGAACACAAGTTATTGTCTGATAACTAGAAAAATGCTTATTTTTGGCCACTTTTTGGTCCCTTATTCCTAAACATTTTGGGCAATTACCCCCAAACTCAATTCCAGCTTTCCCTTTGTGATATGAAACCTTGTAGTACAATTTCAGAAAGATCCATACACTTACACACAAGTTATTGTCATGAAACTAGAAAAATGCTTGTTTTTTGCCCCTTTTTTGGCCCCTAATTCCTAAAATTTTGAGGCAATTACCCCCAAAATCAATCCCAGCATTCCCTTTGTGATATGGAACCTTGTGGTACAATGTCAGAGAGATCCATACACTAACACACAAGTTATGTCTGGAAGTTACAAAAATGCTTATTTTTGGCCCCTTTTGGGCCCCTAATTCCTTAACTGTTAGTACCATAACCCCCAAAATCAATCCCAACCTCCCTTTTGTGGTATTGAACCTTATGGTAAAATTTCATAGAGATCTATTAACTTAAACTAAAGTTAGAGTGCGAAAACCAATGTGTCTTCGGACGACGACGACTACGACGACGACGACGACGCCAACGTTATACCAATATACGACCACAAACATTTTTTTGCGATCGTATAAAAACCAAACAAAACACAAAAATAAAAATAAAAACGTAAATTTTCGAAGCCGTGCACTTTCAATTCGAACAGTTGACAATACAATAGCATGATAAATAAACATTAGAGGTGTAACTTTCAGTATAGTATTACATGAAATACACGGAAAACAGGAATAAAACTGCAACTTACAACACAAGTTTGGACAATACTGAACAGCTGTAACAAAACAAGAAAGTTAAATCCTATTGAAGGCAATATGTTTGTTTTCTTCTACATGTCTATTCTCATTGTATGCGGAGAATTAGACATGACTATAGGATTAAAGTTGGGTAAGTACATTTCTTATGTTTAATTAATGCTGAACAGCAAAAGAACCATATCTTAAAATGTGGCATAATAATCTTAAAAAAAGGGAGAATAAAAAGACAATCAAAATTTCACAAAACACAAAACGGAAAGGGGGAAATTAAAAAAAATCATATTTAGCAGCAGTCGTGATGCTCTTTCTACCGCTCTTTCTACATAAGCCACATGGCAAAGGACGTTATAGACTGGTACCCGGCCGTTATTTGACAAGTTTAATCATGCTCATGTACACACTTTTACTGATTTATTTGTCTCAAACAGTTAGCTAATATAAAAAAGACACTTATAAATACGCAAGATGTTTTGCTTTGTTGACACAGTTTCTTTTAAAGGAATTCAGTGTACATATTAGTAACATTACGTTGTAATTAATCTATCAATAATCCATGTAAAATCGTTGCCGAACTTACGATTATTGACTTGTGTATAACACGAGGCCAGAATGTGCGAGATACTATACATAAACATAAAAAAAGGATTATCCTTTTAGAAATTTTATATTTTCCCGATTTTGTGTCAAATAATCTGATGATACTGGTTGGTTTCCCCCCCCCCCCCCCTCCTGTTTTTGCTCTCAACTTCTATTCAGGATCGGATCCATCTATTTTTAAAAGGGGGTGTTCTAACTCAGAATAAAAGGGGGGTTCAACCATATGTCCCCATTCAAAAACACTGATCGTCAAAAAAGGGGGGTTCCAACCCCGAAATACCCTTTCCCCCTGGATTTGCCACTGCTGTTTCTTGAACACAATTAGGTGAACAATTCAGGAAAGAAAATAAGGCGCTTACTGCGTTGTAACAACTAATGTTTAAAGTGAATAATATTTCATTTAGAATTGTGTCAGCTATTTTTTATTTTGTATGTTCATTTATTTACAGCCTGTTCAGAAAAATCTAACATTGTCAACAAACTGAAATTGTTGTGTAGTGAAATTGGAGCTGGTGGTAATCCGGGTGAGTCAAACTTTGCAATAATCTTCCGCATTTCCTTCAGGCTAGATGATAATTTGGGTCACAAAATATATTTTGTAGAACTTTCATTGTAGGGCTTAATTTGAAAAGGTGTTTTGTACTTCAATCAGTCCCTTAGTAATCATGTTTGAATTGTTTTGTCATTTGTCATTTCGGGGCCTTTTATAGCTCACACTGCGGTTTGAGTTTTTCTCATTGTTGAAGGCCGTACTGTGACCTATATAGCTGTTTTAAAAATCTATGTCATTTGGTCTCTGGTGGATAGTTGTATCATTGTCAAACATCTTAATTTTATACTAGCCCTGTAAAACCATAGGTTATCCGATAGAGAACGTCTTTCGTAAAGTTGCCACATATGTAAACGTGTATACGAGTCTAAAGAATACAACCAACCAGTAAATTTAATGCATATTGCATAGACTAACGATTTATCATTTACATGAAATGTATTAGGATTTGTGCAACGATACTGATAAAAGATTAAAAAAAATGCGAACAAGATGAAATGAAATCGTATTGACAGATATTTCGGCACAACAAATGTCCTTTGTCACTGTCGATCCCTTTTTTATTGTGATAAAACTGTATAGTTGTATAAGACAAGAGAGTGATGATTAGTCAGACCTGGTATGAACAAAGTTCCATAGTTCGTAATAATTTATCACTAATGCAATTTAATATAAACGATTGCATTGACAAAAAGGACAATGATTTATATTTCTTAAATACCTCTGATTAATACTGAAATTAGCATTACATCTTTCTTTGCCAGGGAGTCCCAGCACTGATGCTGGTTTGTCGGTATTCACAGCTTCTGTGAGTAAGAGGAAATACGTGGTAAAAGGAAATATCGTGAGATTTGACAAAGAATGGACCAACATCGGCAATAATTATGATCCACGGTCTGGTGTATATACAACCCCAAAGGATGGTGCATACCATTTCTCTTGTACAGTAATGTCTGAAGGTCGACATGGTATTCGGGTCAATCTGTGGACAAAATGACGAAAAGACTGCTGCAATTTATTCGTATGGTGCTAATGGTGGAACACTGAATATGGCGCTTGACTTGAAAAGGAGAGACCGAGTATACATTAAACAAAGTCATGTTGAAAACTACATTTATGCTGAACCTGAATATCATTTCAGCATGTTTTCTGGCTTTCAAATTTCATGAGAATTTTATGACCTAGATCGAAATATCTATATAAAGAATATCACAATAAAATTAATATAAATTTACTTTTACATTGTTCTTTTTTTTAATGAATTAAACCTAGCCAGAAATCTTTTGAAACTTACGAATTTATCTCCCTCGTGTATAGCTAAAATTGGCTTGTCCGAGATAGACTATACTTTGGTGATACCAGCACTTTGAAGTTTGTATTAGGTTTTAGAACAAATATTTCTACCTCCAGGAACTATGAAGGCACATTATTTGCCTGGTGCAGTAACATGTAATTGATGGGAAGTTAGGACATAACTGTTATTTTTTAAGACTTGAGACCATCAAATCGAATATTGATGCTAGCCAATCTTCAGATACAATACTGGTATCTCCATTCTAATTCAACTGAACAAAAACACCGTTAAAGCATACATTTTGAAATCAGTCACCCTAGATTTTTTTCTCTCCAGACAAGCAAACTTTTTTCATTCGCAATATATGACATACGGGAACAAGATTTATCTTTTTTTAAACTCAATACTGTATTATTTTTTCGCCATTGTTCACTTCCCGTTTGAAACACATTGTGTTGTTCAAGAAACTTATTATACAATAATTTAAAAAAAGAAAAGCTCATACCCAAAGGATGATTGGTCGGTGCATTGTGTATGGAACAAACATTTAAAGTTGTTAACTTCTTATGAGATGATTATATACCAAATTTTTGAAGCATTACAGAAAAAAAGTGCTATGACACAAAGTCCCATTCGGCTTAAGAAATACAATTTACAAAATAAAACAAAGGTTATTGTGCTTTCTGGGATAAAATAAGACTCGATTTGGAAATTTCCTCACGTCAGTTTGTTGATTTTTTTTAAAACTGATATTTTTAAAATAAAATAGATAGAATGGTTTTATTCGCAAGGTCTGAAAAATGTGTAACAGGAAAAAGATATCAGTATATGTCAGCTGTATTATCGATTCAATAGTTGATTAAATTTTTGTATTACATGACTGTCTGTGTATTTGTAAAATAAAATTTTTAAATTTGCCGAATTTTATTGTGCAGTATCAGAAGGTTCTTGATGTTTTTATTCGAGTTTGAATTCACAGTGAAATAAATACATTGTATCGCCGAGATTATTTCACAGAAAACGGTAAAAAAAAAATCCCCAAAATATACTTCCCAAATTTTCTGCGAAAATTACTTTTCGGTTTTTGAACAAGTTTTACGATGGTTTAGAAATACTGGACGAACAAGTGAATCATTCTAAATCAGTTTTATTGTATACTCTTTCTTGGTGATTTTTTAACCGAATTGCAATCAATTCAATACTATTATAATATTCCCGGATAACTGCCAGAATATAATAAATCTACAGCTTTGGTAACGGTCTTGGGCAGGTAGCTGACAGGCTCTATTGCGTGCTGTCCATGCAGTTGCAAGTCGAACAGATCGTTTTTTCTCTTTTGCATGCAAAGTTGGCTACAACTGAACTCCAACTGAAGAGGGTTAACCAGCTGCTGAGACCACACGCCCACCTAAATATAAAAATAAGAAGATTTGGTACGATTGCCAATGAGACAACTCTTCTCCAGAAACCAAATGACATAGAAGTTAATAACTATAAGTCACCGTACGGCCTTCAACAATCAGCAAAACCCATGCTGCATAGTAAGCTTTAACCCCCGAAATGATAAATGTAAAACAATTCAAACGAAAAAAAAAACATTTTATCAACCGATGAGATGCGGAGGATAACAAATGGACATTCAAACTCATATGGCCAAGACAAATTGACACGTCATTGCAAAAAAAAAAAAAAAAAAAAAAAACGTAAAGACGTAAAGACGAACAACGTTCAGCAAAACACAGCTTAGAAAACTATAGATCTAGCAACACTAACCCCACAAAAAGACCGGGGTAATCTCGGGTGCGTCGGAAGGATAAGCAGATCCTGTTCCTGATTTGGGAATTGTCTTCACGGTTGCTCGTGTAAACACAAATTCGGTGTAAAGTCTCTTTCGGTGATGTCAAATTCGAGAAAAACAGTACGCGATTGTCGTAACGATAATTGGAACATGTTAGTTGTCATCTGTGACCATTTTCGTTGCGGCTTCCGTATAATAGTATTGTAACATTTTCAATGAAACAAAAGTTGTGGTTGTGGCATGGTTTTGTGTAGTTTTGTGTCCATTCGTCTTTCGGTTTGAGAGAACCAAAACAATCGTATTCGGACTTCTAAAAACTTAAAATAAAGGTCCCAAACATCAAGTCCTTTAATTCAAGATCAAGAGTATTTCAAGTTGATACGTAAACAATTATTTGAGTCAGCATGCAAGAAAGATTTTTGTCGATTTTTTTTATATAAAGCAGAGACTTTATTTTATACTTCTTATAGTGTTGAATAAAAGAGATTTTGGTGAAAGTTGACAAAATTATCTAAATTTTAACCACATTGTCCCCTAATTTGAATTTAAGCAACACATATGGACAATATTGGAACTTTATCAAAGCCTTTAATTGTCAAAAGACATTTTAAGCAATTGAACAGTTATCAATCTGTAAAGAAACAGCATTATTCGATGATTAAACAACAGTTCTGTCAGTGTGTGCTCGCGAATATAAAGAATAGCACAAAGTTAGTACCTGGTTGAAGAATTCATAACCTTGTCGTGTCAGGCGAGAATAATATCTTATCAACAATGATCATTGGGTATTAAAAACAAAAACACTATATGAACAGACTATAGGCTGATCAGAAGACATGAGAAGCATGATATGTTTACCTTATTTAAGTAAAAAATTGCAAGCAAGAAAAGATTTTGTGATGTTTAAAGAATGCTTCCGTTTCGTTGATCTTTGTACACTTTGAAAACATAAACCTCTCTCGACTTCGTCTCGGATAATTTATATATTTTAATAATAGTCTACCATAACACCCTGAACTATCGACAACTTGCTTTTTATATGTAAAATAACAGTTTTACTATAAGGATAAGAAAATATAAAATATCCAAAGATGAAGTTGAAAATGAAATCGACAAAATACAAATATATAAATCTAAAGTTAAAATCCTAAGGGCTTGATCAACAAGTTTGACAACCTCCCCTCTAAACAGCCTCACCCAGCCTAAAAAGACGGCAAATTCCGAAGCTGTGTACTTAAAAGTGCAACTGTTAGACCTATTAATACAATAGCATGTTAGATACATATCAGAGGTATTATGTTCAGTATGGTATTACATGGGACACGGTAACAGATTTAAAAGTTAGAACTTAAAGAAAGTGTACATTGTTTTGGACTAAAATTAACCACACACTGAAGAAACGAGCGATTAATATCTATAGAGGGCAATATGCATCTTAAACTTATCTGCTTTATGTCTGTACTGATTTGGTACACAGAAATAAACATGACACAGGGGTCAAGTTGGGGTATGTACATTTCTTATTATTTCGAAAAATTTAGCAAGTACAAACAAATCATGGTTCTTTCATGTTCATCGGGCGGAGTTGAAAATTATGGCCGTGTTTGAACCACAGTTTTTTTTCCTGAGTGCAAGCAATTCAGTGAACACACAGATTTAAAAAAAGAAAGAATATTTGGTTGTTTGACAAATAGCGAATCGTACAATACCATAAAATGATTAAAATCAGTTATTTCACTCTGCTCCGTTGGACTTTTTTGCTCAGTAATTTACGCCTCGACAAATAAGTATAATGAAACAGAGTGATAGATATCATTCCAATCTTAACGTCACTTTCAGCCCGGAGAGAACCACCGACCTTCGGTAGGAAAACTGACAATCCTAGTCAATTAATGCTGCGTTTACACGTATTTCTAATTCGATTCGCATTAACTAATCCGAATTAGTTTACTTCGCATTCGAAACGTTTAACGTCCAAACGTAAATTCTAATTCGAATTGCAATGCGCGTCAAATTCGCTTTACTGTCCTAACGACGTTAACTTTTTAAAATTCGTATTAACAAATTGCGAATTGGATAATGCGATTTAGCCAACTCGAATCAATTCGAATTAAAAAAGAAGAGTGTGTGAACGCGATCAGCGAATTCGATTCGCATTCGATTCGAATTCAATTCGAATTAAATGTACGTGTGAACGAGGCATAAGATTGGAGTCGAACGCACCTGCCACATGTGAGATTCGAACTCACAACTTCACTGTTGACAATGATGAAATATGTCCTTGATAGTTGCTCGCAATGGTAAAAATTACTAAACTAAAATGCTCTTAACATCCTCTGTTGGAACATTGAGATTTTTGTGTACATGTTTATTTTCCAGGTGCGTCAGGTTTCTCGGCTTCTATAAGTAAAAGCAAACACGTGGTAAGAGGGCATATCATAAGATTTGACAAAGTATGGAGCAACATAGGGAACAACTATGATCAATATTCTGGTGTATATACAGCTCCAAGAAATGGCGCATATCATTTCTCTTGTACAGTAATGTCTCATAGAAACAATGCTATTCGAGTCAATCTGTGGAAAAATCACTCAAAGACTGTTGCAATTTACTCAAATAGTTACTTTGGTGGAACACTGAATATGGTACTTGACTTGAAAAGGGGAGACAGAGTGTACATTAAACAAAGTCATGTTGAAAACTACATTTATGCTGAACCTGATTATCATTTCAGTATGTTTTCTGGCTTTCTCATTCAAGTTCATGAGTAACTGTGTGAACTAAATCAGAATATTTGTGAAGAAATATGTAATAAAATACAATTGCATTTAATTCTACATTGTTCTATTATTCAAGAATTAATAAACATTCTGTATGTGCTCGTCTCATCACACAGTGGTTGTCGTTTGCCACAAGTCCTGTATATAATTTTTTTTTCCGCATACTGTTTTGTACATAAATCAGGCCGATACTTTTCTTGTACGCATTGTTTTACATTTGTCATTTCACGGCTTTTTATAGCTTACTATGGAGTATTGGTTTTGCTCATTGTTGAGAGCCGTTCGGTGACTTATAGTAACTAACTTCAACGGCAGTTGTTTCATTGGCAATCATACCACAACTTCTTATTTGTATATGGGAAATCATTTTAATTTAGATTTTGCATAGGTCGGATTGCTTGTCCAAGTTAGGATATACTTTTGGTCCCTCTCGGGTTATATCAGCTCTTCGACGTTGGTATTAGGCTTTGGAATTCCGAACAATTTGATCTTCAGCATCTGTGAAGACACATTATTGGTCGAGATGCAGTAAGACGGTTACATATAGTTGTTTCATTTGTCGTTACCAAACCCCTTTTCCTTGCCGGAGCATGCACCTCCGTTCAGCATAGTTAGGTGTGTGTTTCAAGTACTCAACCAGTTACCGCTCCACTTAATTGTGATTACCTTGACAATGGCTGTATTCATAGTCATGTCAATAATTTTTTTGGTTGTTTTTTAAAACAAGAGTGCACACGCTGAAATGTCTCGCCTGCTTTACTGACCATTAATTTTATGTTGATAGTCCTAAATATAAAGCTTTACTTCAATTATCACATAAACTTAACATGATCCAAGAAAATGAGATCAAGGTCAGATAAACCAAACCGGAAATACAGGAACACCTTACAATCATTCCATACACCAAATATAGTTGACCTATTGCTTATAATTTCTTAGAAACGAACTTAACCAGGACAACTTAACCAGGAAAACTTAACATTGACCAATGAACCATGAAAATTAGGTCAAGGGCAGATGAACCCTGCCAGACAGACATGTACAACTTACAATCAATCTATGCATTAATTATAGTTGATATATTGCTTATAGTATCTAAGAAACAAACTTAACCATGAAAACTTAACATTGACCAATGAGCCATGATGAAAATGAGGTCAAGGTCAGATGATACCTGCCAGAAAGACATACACCTTACAATCATTTCATACACCAAATATAGTTGACCTGTTGCTTATACTTTAAGAAAAACAGACCAAAACATAAAAACTTAACACTAAGCAATGAACCATGAAAATGAGGTCAAGGTCAGATGACACCTGCCAGTTGGACATGTACACCTTACAATCATTCCATACACCAAATATAGTAGACATATTGCTTATAGTATCTGAGATTTGGACTTGCCCACGAAAACTTAAACTGTTCACTGATCCATAAAATGAGGTCGAGGTCAGATGAAAACTGTCTGATAGGCACGAGGGCCTAGCAAGGCACGCACATACTAAATATAATTATCCTATTATTCATAAGAAGGGAGAAATTAACATTACAAAAAATCTAAACTTTTTTTTCAAGTAGTCACTGAACCATGAAAATGAGGTCAAGGACAATGGACATTGAAAGACGGAAACTTCATAACATAAGGCATCTATATATAAAGTATGAAGCATCCAGGTCTTCCACCTTCTAAAATATAAAGCTTTTAAGTAGTTAGTTAACGCCGCCGGATCTCTATCCCTATGTCAAGCTTTCTGCGACAGAAGTCGCAGGCTCGACATAAATGATCTGGATAATAGATATACAATATACATGTATGTACATTGTCGGAAAATATAAAACTTGATTTGTACGAGCTTTTGAAAATAAGACGAAATTTGAGGCTCGCCAAGCTTATCTCCTGTTTCGTAGATGATACAAATAAATTTTATATTTCCGACTATGTTGATATATTGTTTTTATCCTGCAATTTACCCCCGGCACTTGAAGCTTTAGTTGTTTAAATTGAAATAGTTGTCTCTGATTTTTCAAAGAAATCGACATACCGGTAGTTTAAACGCGGACCGCGAAGAAGAACCCAAAATGAACTACTACGCTAAAAGAAATATTCACATTACAACTTGCTCAACATGAAAAAAGGTAAAATAACAAAAATACCAAACTCCAAGGATAATTCAAAACGGAAAGTCCTTTATCATTTGGCAAAATCAAAAGCTCAAACACATACAAACGAGAGGAAAACAACTGTCGTATGAAGCAGGGTAACAGGACCCAGACTTTATTTGTAAAAGTACATATAAGCAACAATTTATTTGTGTACCTGTTTTTTACCGACCGTGCGAGGCCCTCATGGGTAATCAATGTCGTTAAACACCCCCTAGTAGTAGTGTACCTGTTATTTGTACAATAGTTGGCTGATTGCAGGATAATATATTTTGATTATATTAACAACTAATACAGACTTGTAGAACGATCTTAGAACTTAACACGATCATGCTAGAAATAAATTTTCCACACTACGCCTTTTAGGTATGTTTACAGGAAAAAATAGTTTGGTTGTTAATATAAAAATAAGGAGATGTGGTATAAATGCCAATGAGACAACTATCCACCACAGTTCAAATAAAGTGGATATAAGCAATTATACACAACCGTATGACCTTCAACAATGAGAAAACCCACATAGTCAGCTATTAAAAGCCCCGATCTGAAAAATATGCAAATATTCAATTGAGAAAACTAACGGCCTAATTTATAACAAAACAATTTACGAAACGCAAAGTTATATGACAGACATGAACTAACGGCAACCACTGAACTACAGGCTCCTGAGTCGGGACAGGCACATAAAGAATGTGACGGGTTGAAACATGTTTGTGAGCGCTCAACACTCCCCTAACCTGGGACAGTGGTGTAACAGAACAATATAAGAACAAACTATAATAAAATGCTCCGCTGGGCGCAGCTTGATACGACCGCAGAGGTCGAACCCTGAACAGTTGGGGCAAGTATGGACACAACATTCAAGCTTGATACAGCACTGAATTTGGATTGTGATTAAATATTTGACACAGCATAGGTTTCTGACACAGAATGAATGTGGTCTAAGAACTTAAAAAAAAATTTATTTACCTATTCAAACCATATCATTATTATTTGCTTTTATATATAAATCAGAAATAACCAATTTAAAATGGAAAATTTTAAAGAAAAAAAATCCCTCCCCCAAATTTTTTTAACCCCCTTAAGATTCATCACCCCTAAACTCAATCCCAGCCTTCCCTTTGTGGTATGGTACATTGCAGTACAATTTCAGAGAGATCCATACACTTGAACACAAGTTATTGTCTGGAAACTAGAAAATGCTTGTTTTTAGGCCCCTTTTTGGCCCCCAATTCCTAAACGTTTCGGGCAATTATCCCTAAACTCAAACCCAGCTTTCCCTTTGTGATATGGAACCTTGTAGTACAATTTCATAAAGATCCATACACTTGCACACAAGTTATTGTCCTGAAACTAGAACGGTTGTATAAAAATGCTTGTTTTTTGCCCCTTTTTGGCCCCTAATTCCTAAAATTTTGAGGCAATTACCCCCAAAATCAATCCCAGCCTTCCCTTTGTGGTATGGTACCTTGCAGTACAATTTCAGAGAGATCCATACACTTGAACAAAAGTTATTGTCTGGAAACTAGAAAAATGCTTATTTTTTGCCCCTTTTTGGCCCCTTATTCCTAAACGTTTTGGGCAATTACCCCCAAACTCAATTCCAGCTTTCCTTTGTGATATGGAACCTTGTAGTACAATTTCAGAAAGATCCATACACTTACACACAAGTTATTGTCATAAAACTAGAAAAATGCTTGTTTTTTGCCCCTTTTTTGGCCCCTAATTCCTAAAATTTGGAGGCAATTACCCCCAAAATCAATCCCAGCATTTCCTTTGTGATATGGAACCTTGTGGTACAATGTCAGAGAGATCCATACACTAACACACAAGTTATGTCTGGAAACTAGAAAAATGCTTATTTTTGGCCCCTTTTTGGCCCCTAATTCCTTAACTGTTGGTACCATAACCCCCAAAATCAATCCCAACCTTCCTTTTGTGGTATTGAACCTTATGGTAAAATTTCATAGAGATCAATTCACTTAGAGTTAGAGTGCGAAAACCAATGTGTCTTCGGACGACGACGACGCCAACGTCATACCAATATACGACCGCAAATTTTGTTTGCGGTCGTATAAAAATCAGTTGGAAAGGCTTAACTCATCAGATCGATACAAAGAAAAACACCAAACAGGACGTGGCCATGGCATTGTATATATCCTTCCCTCATCCCTAACAACAAAAAAAGACACTAAGTACAGATCTGAGAGAACTCGCAGTTACTGCCATCTTTTGTTATCTTTTAAATGCATTTTTATATAACGAAACATCTAATCAATATGACCTGTCAAAATTTTACATATACACCGTCTTGTGTTTTTCAAATTCACGTGAATAGAATAATAAAGAGTGTTAAATTCTATTGATTTATTTACTTATTTAACATATACACATTCAAAATGGAAAATGAACTGTTGAACAATCATCTACTTCATGATGACATGACAATGTTTGAATATAACGACCAAAGAAATATAAATGACATGATTCTAGAGTCAACTATCTTCTTTCTTTTCTTGTTCAATGTTAACGTCTTTCTTTTCTTGTTCAATGTTAACGACTCGTTCCTTCGCCTCTTCTGAGCCTTTTGCTCTGCCTTGAATCATTAACATGCCTTCTTCGGATAAAGTAGAAGTTATTCCATCAACGTCAATATTCTAAAAGAGAAATTAAAAAATAATAACAGTTTGCCAATTGAGATGAATAAGATTAATTTGCAGTCATAAGCATAAAAATGGAAACAAATTAAATTAAATGCCAATCATAGGCACTGTAAATGAACAATAGCTTTAATATCATTTGGAATTATGACTCCGCCTATCTGTAAGCATAGATTATTTCGTCGATCAATAGGGTTAGGGGGAAGGGGTAGGAGGGGTGTCATTCCGAATTCCCGACAAAATAAACATTGAATCCGGAATTCCAGAACAAATAAAGCATTCTTTCCCGGATCCCGAAAAATTAATAATTAATTCCCAAATCCCGTTAAGAATAAATCCCGAATCCCAGAAAAATGTCCTCCTACCAAAGGGGTATTCAAACATATAATACGAAGTTACACTGACGTCATTGGAAGAAACGAAAAACGATAAACTTCAAGACAAACAACAGTCTACATAACACAACACAGAAAACTAATAAAAAGACATAGCAACACGATCCCCCTCCCTCAAAAAGGGTGATCTAGAATGCTCCGGAAGGGTTAACAGATCTTGCTCCACAGGTGGTACCCGACAATGTAACATTCTATGTATCCTAATGTAAAGACCTTGTTTGCTCGATCCATTTTCAATTTATAAAGATAACCAAGATGTACCAAGTCAGGAATAAGACAGTTGGTATCCATTCGTTTGATGTGTTTGAGCTTTTGAAGTTGCCATTGATGACTTTCCGTTTTGAATTTTCTTTGGTATTTTACTTTTTAAAACAAATTACCTCTGGAATAACAAATTCCCGTTTGAATTCTCGTGTAATGAAACCATGATTGTCTTCTTTCTGTTCGTGCTTTCCTTTGATGATCAGTCTGTCTTCAGCTATGGTGACATTAAGTTCCTCCGGTGAATACATAGACACATCTAATTTTATTTCCAGCTTCCTACTGTCATATTTGACCTATTGTAATAAAACAAGAATTTTTGTTCAATTAATGATTTCAATTTACGTGACATTCAGTTTTTCTTTGATTTTGAAGATTTTTTTGTGTAACCCGAGGTAAAGTGTCCGGGTAGGATTTTTGTTCACTGTGATAATTTACCCCAAAAAATGTATACTATTGCTCTTCATCTACAAGATTTAGCCCGCGTTTGCTAGTTTATACTAGTACTTTAAATCATATCTGAGAATATATTTATATATTAACGTTTCGTCGGATGTCTGTTTACAAATTATCTTATTCTTGTCTTTATGAGGAGTCAATTCTAAGTTAATTTTATTTCCAGCTTCTTATTTTCATATTTGACCTAATGTAATATGAAACACGAATTTTGTTCAATTAATAATTTCAATTTACGTGACAATTCAGTTTTTATTTGAATTTGACATTATTTTTTTTTTTGTAAACTGATGTAAATATGCCCAGGTAGGATTTTGTTCACTCTGATTGGAGAAATCATATCGATTAATTTACCCCCAAAAATGCATACTTTTGCTCTTTATTTACCAATATTTAACTAGTTTAAGCTTGTACTTGTAATTGAACAGGTACTGATCTAAGTTGTTGAAAAGGGGGGACTGGGGCTGGTAATCCAACGTTTGGAGTTATACATGTTATAATTGTAAAACATCTAACTTTTTATACATGCCCCTTAAATCCACCTCTATCATTAAGCATTTCTGAGAAAGTTCAAACAACGTATAAGTTCCGTTGGATGTCCGACTCTAGATGATCTAATTCTGCTGTCTTTATAATGAGCGAAATCTAAATTAATTTTCTTTTTCTAAATTCAATTACGATAAAGAAAATTAAATAAAAACTTACTTCTGCAACTTCAGATTTCGCAAATGCCTCAGCTACTTCTTTTGATCTGACATAATCTTCATTATACCATGGACTTCGCGTAAAATTGTCAAACACCTTCGCCATATCCCGAAACTGAGATTCAAAAGGTTTGACGAAAAAGTTGTCATTTCTAACGGAATCCCAGGGATCTCTTCGATGCCAAAACATTGGTACATTTCTCCTGGAACTCATCCACCTCGGACAGCTGGTTATCAGGCGGCATGCTCTTGGAATAAATCTCACCAACATCTTTGAAGCTTGTCGTTATTTCTGATGAAATTTTTCAAAAGGTCGCAAATAAATAGTCAGATGATTACATAATACTAGTACGCAAATTCTTGATCTTTCTATAAATAACACGCAAATTCCCGATTTTTCTATAGCAAGTTCAAGTTATAGGGGGTATCGTTGTTTTATTAGGAAAAGCCCCGAGTACATCCGATCAATTTGAATAAAAAAACTAATAAGAGTTGTTTCCCTTTACTCATGAAAAATTTCACTGTAATTCACTGGGAAAGAAAATTGTATTCCAAATTACGGTTGCGCCAAAAAATAAATTAAAATAACATGATAAATAAAAGAACACATAAATATATCATACAAAATTAATTATGACTACTTATACTTTCAAAAGCTTTAGTAACATGATGTCCGGGAACCAAGAGTAACCCTAAGAATTGTAACGTGTCTCGGTTAAAGATGAAATTTAACGCCAAAATGCATATAATGGAAATAAAAACTAAACATCAAGTAAATTTTACCAGAGACATATTGTATTAACCATGTTAACGTCCCCATTTGTAATACAGTCAATATGGAGCTATCATATGGGACCCATCTGCAAGAAAAGAAATATAGACCAACTAGAAAGGATGCAAAAAAGGGACGTGCATTTTATCAAAAAAGATTACAAATCATAGTGCATCACGAAACAATCCGTTCTTTCCTATGGCTCGTCTGCGATTGCTACAGTCAGTGTAAAAGTGGAATGTTGACTTAAAAAGGGTGTCCATTTATCAGTAAATACAGAGTTTTGATAAAATCAAACTTTTATAAGCTATTTTTCACTTCTGTCCAATGTTCATAACAATCCACGAAGGTTTACAAATTTATAATGTAAAAAAATATAATCCCAGACTGTAAATGTTAACTGTAAAAACTAAGTCCGTCTATCAGAAAAAATTTTGAAATTGAAAAAAAATATTTTCAAAAGTTTGCTTCAGAAATTATCTCTTGCTCATAAAAAGGCTTCTGTCAAAGTTTCATAAAATTCTATGAAGGTTTGATAAGTAACAAACTTTAACCCCAGACAGTATCTACTTGTTAACCGTAAACAAACAAATAGATAAAAGAAGATGTTGTATGAGTGCCAATGAGACAACTCTCCATCCAAGTCAAAATTTATAAAAGTAAACCAATAAAGGTCAAAGTACGGTCTTCAACACGGAGCCTTGGCTCACACCAAACAGCAAGCTATAAAGGGCCCCAAAAATTACTAGTGTAAAACCATTCAAACGGGAAAACCAACGGTCTAAAGTCCATTTATCGGTTAAATACGGAAAAATGAAAATAAATATTTTCTAAATTTTGCTATGGACACTGTACTTTTATCAGTAGCAAGCTTCTGTCCAAATTTCACAAAATTCTCTGAAGGTTTGAAAAATTATTGATGACTGCAAAACTTTAATCTCTGACTAAATCTGAATGTCAACTGTGAAAAAAACTAAGTCCATTTATCAGTGAAAATACGAAAAAGGAAAACAAACATTTTCAAAACTTTACTCTGGATACTGTATTTTGGTCATTAACAAGCATCTATCCAAATTTCTTAAAGTTATTGATGACTGCAAAACTTTAACCTCAGGCTGAAACTAAACGTTGACGAATCCTTCGCCGTCGCCGACGACGTTATCTAGGATCGCTATGTCTCGCTTTCGCGACATAAAGGACGCAGGCTCGACAAACAATGATGCAAGTTCTAGAACTATTATCACAACCTCAAGACAGACGAAAACAACAGAGGTTGATATTTTTCTAAAGGGTGGTTGAGAGTTAGTTTCCAGAGGTGCCACCTTCTGATCACTTTATCCTAATCCAAGGAAGGCGCCAAACTCAAACCAAATATTTTCAAGTCGGTATTTCATCGAACATTGTGGAAAGACAATCCCACAAAACAGTTGAGATCCTTTTTTCATCAACCGGCAAATTTAAAAACTCATTCTTCATCAGAACTGCTTTCGACTGGAACAACCTTGAAGACAGCATAGTGACAGCGAAGTCAACCGAAGTCTTTAAAGAGGCACTATATAGCCGCAATCGAGACTAATTGCGTTCTCCGTACCCGCTGTAATAAAGTCATTTTGGGATTCTACAACGTACCCATACATATACAGAAAGATGTGTTTGGGGGAATATTTTTAAAGTGGAATACGAAAAGTTAACAATTTTACATGAAAAATACACAATCACAGTTGTGTAGTTTTCATCAACCCATGTATTTGGTTATTAAAAAATTGTAGATCTATGCACAATTTGGCTCTGTAAAGAATTCTTCTAAATCTAAACTAAAATTCAAAACGAAAAATATCAAACGAAAATTTGTTTATTGTGTACAAAAAATATGTAAATCAGTGAATTTAACCTAAATTAATGCACACAATTTCTGGAAAAACTTTAGACCTGACCTGATATTTTCATATTTGACCAAGTTATAACCTCGAACCCAAACAGCATTTTATATTCATATTTAGTAGAGCTAGTCATGGAAGATTCAAATAATACTACAAACCAAATCAGCGTCGGTGACAAAAGATATAATAATGAAAAATTGTAGAGCAAATTGACATATATTTGTTCCACTCGTAAAGTCAAATTATGAAGGTTGTTAAAAAAAAAACCCCGGCAAAGATGACACCATGTTTATACTTTTGTACGCCAGGCGCGCTTTTATTCAACAAGAGACTCACCAGTGAAGCCCGAATCGAAAAAGTTAAAAGGTCAAAGAACGAAGCTGAAGAACATTGAGGACCAAAAATTCCAAAACATATAAAAATTTTAATGTTTCGGTGTATCAAAAGATAACTTTAAAGACGGATACTGTGATTTTTAGTGAAGATTGAGACATTTTTTTATATGTTCATGCGAAAAAAGTGTTAAGGAAATTGGCTCTCCTTTAACGTTCTAGTTAAAATGTGTCTGTGGCATAATATATTGTCAGTATACTATTCCCAGTGGGTCTCATTAGGGTCTAAGCGTGACCCGGGATTGCCGATTTTTTGTAAGCGTGACACGTGAAAGTCAAATTATTGTGCCGTGAAAACGGGAAATCATCGGAAGTCTAGCGGGACACGGGAAATTACAAAAAAATGAGAATTGCTTACGTACATAGTGTAAGCGGGATACGGGAATCTGACAAAACAGTAAGCGGGATCCGGGATCAGACCCCCCCCCCCCCCCCCCCCCCCCCCCAATGAGACCCCCTGTATAGCGTGCTTATGGGATTACCTATTTCCTTTGCATTTGTCATGATTATACATGATAAAGTTTTCTTGTCTAACATCTTACCTAACCACAATTAAACATTAATTTGATCTAAGGGCGCCATTGCGTTAGTGTGCAAAAATATCACATATCCTGGAATCCTTGCTCACTGCACAGCCTACCTCTGCAAAAAATTGCCTAAATCCAATGCTACAATTTCGTAATGAGGGGAGCTATCAGCTTTACCAAGTAAATAACCTCAAAATCAGAACACCAAACTTAACCGAAGTTATTATAATATTTGCTCTATTCCAAGTCAATAGCGTACATCAAACTTTTTTCTTTCATTGATATATAATTATTTAGATGCAAGGTGTGAATCAATTCAAGAGCGACAACCAGATTTATCATCACTTAATTTCTCAAACGGATACCTTTGAAATCTTGAACAATTAAAATCAAAAATTTAATGAGATACTAGTAGATAAGTTTTTTAACACATTACAATCCATTTTTCCTGGAAAGATTGGTTTACAACCATGTTATGGAGTTTCAGAGAAACTAAAATCATGACAATTTTAATTTGATAAACAATCAATAGGAATATAAATCACTTTGTAAGTGAGATGTGAGCTAATAATTGATTTTCAAATCCTTCATTTTTCTTTTCAGGAAGAATAGTTCTATAATTAAAGTATCTTACGAGAGCAATCTATTCTTAGTGAGTATGGCCTTGACCTTAGAACAAACGACTTGAAAATTAATAAGGATCCTTCCTCTATATTTGACCACATATCCAATTTAAAGTTGCAAACCCATAAAATACATTCTGAAACCACTTTTCAAATTTCAGTCTTTTTTCTAGTTACTTGACCTTGACCTTAGATATAGTTATAAGTAACAATATCAACAAGACGCTCTCAAGAGCCTGAATTGCTTACCTGTAATTTTTTGCTTAAATCTTTCATCAATGATTATGTTTGCTTTTTAATATATATTAATGAGTGGCTTAAAAATTCCATTGAGATGTTCTTTGTATCTGTCATATTTTCTTCAAAAGCAAAGAAATACATTTTACCCCTATGTTCCATTTTAGCCATAGTGGCTATGTTTCTTGACGTACAAGAAAATAAAATACAAAATTTATACTAGATACTCTGAAACTCATTCAGCCCAAGTTTGGCTGAAATTGATTCAACAGTTTCAAAGGAGAAGATTTTTTAAAGTAAGCAAACTAGATGAACAAATGAACATTTTTGCTGTTCACAGTTTATCTTTATCATTAATAATATTCAAGAAAGTAACCAAAAACTGCAAAATTCCTTAAAATTACCAATTTAGTGGCAGCCACCCAACAATGGACAGTTAGATTCGTCTGAAAATTTCATGGCTGATAGAACTTGGCCTAATGAACATTTTAACTTCTCATCAGATTTGCTCTAATTGCTTAAGTGTTTGAGATATTTTTAGCCATGGTGGCAATGTTTTTTTACGAAACAAAAAATAAAACACAAACATTATTCTAGATACCCTAAGGATCATTCAGCTGAAGTTTGGTTGGAATTTGTTCAGTGGTTTCAGAGGAGAAGATTTTTTAAAGTTAGAAAACATGATAAACAAATTGTGTAAAATTGTCCTCAAAGGGCAATACTCCTTAAGGGGTCAATTGACAATTTTGGTCATATAAACTTATTTGTAGATCTTACTTTGCTGAACATATTTGCTGTTTACAGTTTATCTTTATCATTAATACTATTCAAAATAGTAACCAAAAACTGCAAAATTTCCTTAAAATTACAAATTTAGTGGCAGCAACCCAACAATGGGTTGTTAGATTCATCTGAAAATTGTATGGCTGATAGAACTTCACCTAATGAACACTTTTACCCCATGTCAGATTTGTTCTAACTCCTTTGGTTTTTTAGATATAAGCCAAAAACTGCATTTCACCCCTATGTTCTATTTTTAGCCATGGTGGCCATGTTTTTTGACGAAACAAAAAATAAAACACAAACTTTATTCTAGATACCCTAAGGATCATTCAGTTGAAGTTTGGTTGGAATTGGTTCAGTGGTTTCAGAGGAGAAGATTTTTTAAAGTTAGAAAACATGATAAACAAATTGTGTAAAATTGTCCTTAAAGGGCAATAACTCTTTAAGGGGTCAATTGACAATTTTGGTCATAAAACTTATTTGTAGATCTTACTTTGCTGAACATATTTGCTGTTTACAGTTTATCTTTATCATTAATACTATTCAAGATAATAACCAACTAGAGGCTCTCAAGAGCCTGTGTCGCTCACCTTTATTTACTGATGCTTGTCTCAGTAGTTTCAGAGAAGAAGATTTTTGTAAAAGATTACAAAATTTACAAAAAATTGTTAAAAATTGACTATTAAGGGCAATAACTCCTAAAGGGGTCGACTGACAATTTTGGTCATGACAACTTATTTGTAGATCTTACTTTGCTGAACATTATTGCTGTTTACAGTTTATCTCTATCTATAACAATATTCAAGATAATAACCAAAAACTGCAAAATTTCCTTAAAATTACCAATTCAGGGGCAGCAACCCAACAACAGGTTGTCAGATTTGTCTGAAAATTACAGGGCAGATAGATCTTGACCTGATAATCAGTTTTACCCTTGTCAGATTTACTCTAAATGCTTTGGTTTCAGAGACATTTTACCCCTGTGTTCTATTTTTAGCCATGGCGGCCATCTTGGTTGGTTGGTGGGGTCATCGGACACATTTTTTAAACTAGATACCCTAATGATGATTGTGGCCAAGTGGTTTCAGAGGAGAAGATTTTTGTAAAAAGCTAACAACGGCGGACGACGACGGACGCCAAGTGATGAAAAAGCTCACTAGGCCCTTTGGGCCAGGTGAGCTAAAAACTGCAAAATTTCCTTAAAATTACCAATTTAGTGGCAGCAACCCAACAATGGGTTATTAGATTCATCTGAAAATTTCAGGGCTGATGGAACTCCACCTAATGAACACTTTTACCACATGTCAGATTTGCTCTAACTGCTTTGGTTTTTGAGATATAAGCCAAAAACTGCATTTTACCCCTATGTTATATTTTTAGCCATGGTGGCCATGTTTTTTGACAAAACAGAAAATAAAACACAGACTTTATTCTAGATACCCTAAGGATCATTCAGCTTAACTTTGGTTGGAATTGGTTCAGTAGTTTCAGAGAAGATGTTTGAAATAGTTTACACCAGACAGACGACGACGACGGACGTCAAGTGATGGCTAAAACTCAGTTCCTTCGGAACGGTGAGCTAAAAAGGATCTGACTGTTGGTAAATGTGATGGTATATCCCAGTGAAGTTGCAATCATATATGAAGTATTTGATTTAGTATCAGGAAACCTCTTTTTTGCAAAAATTTTGTCTATTTTTATTGAATTTAACCTTAGACAAAGGGGATATACATCTCACTACATGTGACTATATTTCTGGGGGAGGTTACAATTCCCTAATGTAATATTTGATTTAGTATCTGTAGACTATAATGAAAGGAATCATTATATGTGACCATATATTTACGTAAAGTTGTCATCTAAAATAAAGAATTTGAGTGAGCACCTAGAAACCACTATTGAGAAATAAAAATTTCAATCTATTTTTTAAAAGTAAATATGACCATGACCTTTATTTGGTCTCCAATTTGGTGACCAAAAATCAATAGGGATCTTTCTCTCATTTGATGTGACCATATATCTAGGTAAGTTTGCAATCAAATATAAAGTACTAGAGTTAAAATCTTGAAAGGAAAATGACTGACAGGTCAAAAACCAATATATACCACAGCTTGTTCTGCTTTTTCGTATAGTGTTCATAGAGAGGAGTATAATTACTACATTTTCTAAAAATTTAACCGACATATTTCACATTGCAATAAACTGAATAGATATTTTGCTTGGCATAATTTGGTATGCTTGCTGCAGTATTTATTTCTTGTACTAATATGCTTTTTGTTTTCATTTTCACCTTTTTTGTGTGCGAGTGAGTGGACATTAGTAGTCTACTGTAAACACAATATTTAAAGGAGGGGGCCTTGGTGGTCAAGTGGTTTAAGGATTTCATCTTCATTTCCATTAGCCTGTCACTACTGAGCTTGTGGCAGGTGTATTCGACTACAATCTTAGTTGACTAGGATTCCTATTTTTCCCGCCGAAGGAAGAACCCTGCATGTGGCAGGTGTTTGACTCCAATCTTAATTGACTAGGATTTCCAGATTTTCTGCCAAAGGTGGATGGCTCTTTTGCTCCATCCACCAAAAAAAACTATATGCCACAATATAGCAAATAGTGCTGAAATTGGGGTTAAAAAACAGCAATCAATCTATCCATATTTATACCCCTAACACATCATATCAAAGTTTATGTATAAGGAACAACAAACTATTTCAAATTATTATTCATTTTTATTATAATAGCTGCACTTTTGAATGGAATATATTCTTACAAACATATACAAATATTCGTTTTCTCATGTCTTAAACTTCACAATACAGTCACAATGTTATGATTAACATGATACAAAGGAGAAGGTACAATTCTGGGCCAAGTTAGACCTAAAATAAAATGTATTTCAAACATTCTCAGATTTACAGAATTAATTGAATCTGATGTTCTATGATCATGTTAATGAAAAAATGGGTTTTTGATTTAAAATATCCTTTTCATGGTTAATAGGACCATCAAATGACCACAAAATCCTGACTATTAACTAGCAAATGCTTAGAAATAATTTAGAATAATTATTTTGCCCAAAAAATTTCACATAGAAAGTGTTTTTTTTATATTTATCTATTCTTTCGATGGCAAAAAATGTTTTAGGTTGAATTTAAGGGATAAATTAGCTTCAAATTGAACCTTCTCCTTTCCTATAAAACCCCAATAATGGATTTATTTTAATAACTGTTTTTATTCAAAATTGCTAAAGGGTTGAGACTGATCATACCTGCTTTTTATAAAAGCTACATCAACTGGTTACCTGGCATATTAATTTGAATAGTAACCAGTTCAAATATTCAAATTTAAACATAAATCATTCAAATGTGCAAAAGAAATATTAACAAATAACAAACAAACAAATAACATGCTTTAACAAATATCTTCACAAGAACAGAATACAAATAAAATGTACTTTATTAAATTAGCTTGTATAAATATATTAATATAGAAAAAAGTTTCAATTCTTAATATAAAAGCCAAATTCCCTTTGATATTAATTTTTTTAAAGACAAAATTTTCCATATCTTGTGAAAACTTATAAAATTAGTTGTTATCAATATAAATAGAATCTTTTTCACATAATATACAAAGCCAACTTTTCTGGCTTTTAAAAAATATACAAATATTCTCAAAATGTAAGTTTTGTTAAATCATTTAACAGGGTGAGCACATGCACTGTACAAGAGTGCTAGAATTAAAAGGTTAAAATTGAGGTAGATCAACATATTAATATAAACTAGAAGAGTTTTTATTCTCTCCAAGTCTTTCTAACAAAGTTAAAGCTATGAAATAGAACTTGAAATCATGTACACTGGAAATTTGGTGAATAGGTTTTTAAAAAGCGAAAAAAAGATAATTATTGACAAAATTGTTATTAAACATAAATTTGTGTCTTTGGTATTAAATACTGCACGGTCTTCTCAACAAAAAATGTCATGGACTGCATATAGCAAAACACTTTTCTTAAAACTCAATGGTACCTATTAATGTTCAAAAATATTTATCCATTTAACAACATACTATACTATGAAATTTTAGTTTTATGTCATAATACCAGATTTGAGATATTGGAGCTTAGAATGAGAGTTATTTCCCCTATCTCATCTTACTTTAAAATACATAGTAAAAATATATAATAGCCATTTTCTATATGCTGGTTTACTTGGCAGTTTCTTGAATATCAAAACCAATTTAAAATTCCAATTATAACAAATACAACTAGATATTTAAACTTCTAGGGTACAAATCAATTTGAGATCAATATAAATGCACAATGTTTTGCAAACTTATCACGATTATGTAAATTAAAATGTTATGGCAAAGTAATAGTCACTTCACCATTGCTTTTGTCTGTCTATCAGCAGTTATGCATTAGAAAAATGAAAATGAGAAGATTACAATGAGCAAATCACAGAATTTCACACGACAAGATCTCTCTGTGCATGAAACAATTCATCTTCTAGTTCCTCTGGATTTATAGTATAACTCCCTGAAGTAGTCGTGGCAGCATCATCATCGTCGTCCCGCGACCTCAATGTACTTAAACTTTCAGGACGCAAGTGAAAATAATCTCTGTCTTTTCTTGGATATTGAGCATATGCACTTTGTTGCAGAAAATCCCACGAATGATATTGCATGTCTTTTGAACTGTTGTCTAAATATGGCTGACTGGTCGACAGATTATTTACAATTTTAGCACTAGCGTTATTTTTAATATTATATGAGTTAGGTCTCGGCATGTGTCTATTATCACTGTTTTTGTTTCTATACATATTTAACTTGTCCTTGGAATATGAGTTTGTACTGTAATATGATGGTGGAGGGCACTGGAACTCAAAGGATCGGGAGTCATCTGTAAAGAGAAAAAAAGAAACAATAAATACATATATCTAACAATATAATACCTAAAGATCTACTGGTACTCTGTATTTTGTCAGTATAATACAGTAACAAAATAGACTGGTTCCCAGTTCCTTATCAGTTGTGCTGTTAAAGATCTTTCTAAGGATTAAGTAAACACCAAACAGCTTCCAGAAACTTCAATCACCATTGAAAAATATATCCAATTCTAAGGAAATTGTGATGTGATAATGTGGTATCTTAGCTGTCTGTACTATTCAATCAATTCCAAGCAGAACTCTCAACGAATGAATGTGCATATTATATGGGCATTTGTTAGGATTCTGATTAAAGGCAAAAAAGGGAAATAACCTTTCTTAGTAATTTTCAGAATGATGTACCGATTATTACACCTACTCTTAATTTAGCATTTTTGTAAGTGACTAATTGCTACTGAAGCATTTACCCAATAGTCTATCTATTTTCAATTGATCTTTAGGTCAGACATATATTGCAAGCATTATTAATAAACAAACTGCAGATAACAATTTTTCACATGTATACAGTTTGTTGATGGTTTGCATACATGCGTGAGCAATGAAAATCAATACTTACTACCTACGAAAGTGAAAAGATTTACATACATCTATTTTGTACTATGAGAAAAGTGAGGGGATACTATATGTAATCTATATGTTTTACTATAAAGCCTTTTATACTGCAAAGTAAAATTCATACATCCTTACCAATTTCATTAACCTGTGCACTCATGCATGTCCTATTAGATTCATACTATTTGTAATATCTGCTTTAATCTTGATCAACATTGAAACTTAACTGTTTTGTTAATTTTGAAGATTAATAAATATTTATTTCTGTGTGATCAAAATCTACTTCTCTAATGATGTAGGCATATTAAATCTCCAAATTGTACATGAAGATTTGAATTTGTAATTAATGGGATTTTTTCATTAAATAATTTATATGGCGTACATAAGCAGATACATTTTAATATGATACAGGCCTATCCATTATTTTTAATTTTTAAAATTAGAAAAATTATCAATATATTGTTGATATTTTGATCAGGTGGTAAGAAGTCAATGACTTAAAATAGTAAACTTTTAAACTGTCTATGCAAATGTGCACCAAAGAGGCTATTTAACAAGTTTTCTTTTCTATTGCAGCCTAAATCTTCCGATTCCGATATATTAACCTCTAGTAGTTTATATTTGCCACTGGACATAAAGCAGTCATTCATCAATCAACTAATTTTAGATGTAATTTTTTATCAAAACATTTCTCCAATATCTCTTCTTATTCAATTGAATTCAATTCGATTGAGAATCATAACAAAATTTTAACGAAAAAAATTTCCAATTTTGTATGCTTACCTAATGTACTCCCTGGAACTTCATCCTCACTACCACCTCTACCGCTATCACTGGTAGTTGTCTCCCCTGAACTGTCGCTATGATTATCACTTGGATGTGGTCGTTGGAGACGAGCCTATAACAAATGTAAAACAGACAATGAAAATAATGTTTGTAACTTTTATATCATTTAAATGTGTTTTAACTGTGCAGACAAAAATGTCAAGATTCCATTTTCAATAGAAAATGTAATCATACCATGGCCATTTAAAGAAAAAAACTCTAGATGTTTTTTGGTTAATTGTGTTGTTTGGTCGCTGTCTCACTGAAATAAAGATTCTTTTATTCATACTCAAGTTTCTCTTGTCATCTATTTTTCCTGAATTCAAAATTCAAATTTTGAGATCAGATTATTTTGTGAAAACTGTGTACTTATGTTATATACTAGAAATTTCTATTTTTCTTACGTCATAAACACATTTATATTTTGTGACTAAAATGATGAAGCAGATAGACAGCTGGTTACATTGTTTGCTGTGACTAATAAAATTAATTTTCTCCAGTATTTGTTGAAAAAAAACTTGGAATGCCAATTATATTATGAGATATCAATAACTGCAATGTTTTTCCTCTGACGTCAGATGCTATTCTCTTTTCGATTTACTTGTAAAAAAAAAAAAAAAATAAAGTGACAATTCTGAAATCTTGCAAGAAAAGAAATTTTTCCCAAAAATGCTTAAAATTCAATATTTACATGAATAAAATGTCAACATTCTATATCTATATTAAGGACCAACTTTTTTTAACAGATTCATTTTAACTTATAAAAACAGTATGAATTTTGAAGGTAGATCATGATGAACTTGAGATTAAGGAAATTCTCACATTAAAAGAGGAAACATTTCAGAAGAGGTGCTCCTACCAAAGGAGGTTTGCAGAATAATAAAATAATAGTTTTCTTACCTCTGTTTCTGTGTTATTTTTCAGCAGTATTTGTTTTAGTTGTAGTGCCTGTGTATTAGAATCACTATAAGGCTGACTGTGGTGAACTGATGGTTTATCGTATAAATATGGCTCCTGAAAAACATCAATAATAATTTTCAAATTTACAAATAATTAACTAAAATTTTATATATTTTTTTATTTTGAAACAATAAAATTTGTAATTCTGTCATTTTTTTTCTTTGGTAGCATTAAGGGGAGATAATCTACCCTTCTGTGTAAGTGAATCTTTTTTTAAAGAGAGTTTGTGGTTTATAAACTTGCTTAACTAAAAGCTTTATGTCAGTTTTTTTGTGGTACAAATATAACTTTAAAACTTTATAAATTTTGAACTTTCAATTCATAAATGCTTGTTGAGCGAAAAAAAAAAAAGGTGTGTTATCAAATCTAGTAAATAGTTATCTGAAATCTACAACTTTTCAACAAACATTTGTATATCAAAGATTATAAGTTATCACATTTTGTTTTGATAATTTACAGGTATATAATCCTATTTTAAAATAATCATGTTGACTTTATCAAATTAATCATAGACTAATTTACCAATTGTCTGAGAATATTTGTAAACAGTTTGACCACATAACAAAACATTTTTAATCCTTGCCATGTGGACAGTGACCAACTTTCTATTTATTTGGGGAAAGTTAATTATTTTGTAAAAATAGTGGTCTGATTAAAATGACAAGATTGAAAAAATCTTGTGTCATAATGTTAATTTGCTGGATAAATCTGGCTTAAACTTAACCAAATATGGTGACACAATGCTAAAATTCAGAAAAATTTCAATTGTTTTGGGTTTTGTAAGGTGCTAGTACATGTAGTAAGGATTTTAAGTCATAAATAAATACAATAATTTTCATTACATCCCTGTTCATATAAAAACAGTGTGTTTTACACTTTTTTTCCATCAGACAAATAATCAAAATTTGTGGTAGAAAAAAAAAAACTGTATAGGTATCTTTGATTATAGTTTATTGATAACGTTTTTATTTTCTTGAAATTTTGTACAAAAAAAAAGATTTTTAATGTTATGTTTAATGTTATATAAAATTTGTCCAATTTTAATCTAAAATCTTTGCTTGAAAGGTGTTACAGTAAAATTTATTTATTAAATCTTTATCCATTACAATTTAATATGATCTGATATAACAATCGAACAAATCAAAGAAGAAAAACACATTTTGTTTGATCTTAAATCTGCGAGGAAAATAAAAAAAATGTGAAAAATATTCAACCATTAAAATTCAAATTTCATATATTACAAACATTAAAAAGAAATCGAATATAAGATTAAAACTTATGTTAATAAATATGCCATAAATTTTCATAAATTCAAAGTAATAAGACGGAAATCTTTCACCATATTAAAATCATAAAACTAATTTAATACATTATTTTGACACCTTTCAACATAAAAAGACAAATTTGAGAATTTTTTGTGCCATCAACCATTATATGAAATGGAAATTAAATTTAGGATGCAACAAATTATGCAATATTTCATGGTTCTTATCTGCGACCAGTAACAATGCTAAATTGAACATGATAAAATCATCTGTGGGAACAAATATCCCATATTTAATATTCTAAAATATCAAAAGAATAACAACAGTTTTCATGTAATGCATTTTGCTGATGAAATTTGTATTAACAACAACAGACTTTTCAACCGAAAAAACATGTCGTGAATCGAAAAAATAAATATCTGATAAAAGTTCGACACAAATATAAATGTTCCATATTTTTCCACAGATATCACACGAAATGTTTTATTAATATTGAGTGTTTTTCAGTGATCTTTTATTAAAAGCATTTTTGTGCTTTGTTAGCTACACTTGTTTATAAACATGATAAAAAGTATGATCTTTGACGAGTCAAAAGGAAATCGGAAGGTTCAATACAAATTTAAAAGAAAGGGTTTACAAATATTTGGCGATTAAAGACAGTCATAATGTTCAAATATTGCTACCTTTAATCGGCACCTGGATTTAGTCTTCTCATTGAGAAAAATCACAATATTAAAGATTTACAATTCTTTAAAATTTATTTTTCTGTTTTCATTATGGATTTTTAGAACCTATTTGATTATTTTGGTTCGGACTTTATTTGAATCAAAGGAAAGACACTTCAACTGTAATTCACAATTATTTACCGTGGGATTTTAATTTTTATGATCAAATCCCAAAACCTCCACTAGAGCTATCGAATAAATTGAAATGCGTTAATACCTTCGTGTTCAAACGTTCAAATTCACCTTAAGATTTGACTGCATTAATTTGGTGGAACAAATATTGTTTCAATGGTCTACGATTTGACACCCAGAACAAAAGATTCTTTCATTTGATACTTTAAAATGAACAAACAATCTTTAAAACTGTTTTGATGTGTCGACGTTAAAGTACTTTTCAGAGGGTGGGTCACAGTGAATTAAAATTTTACATAGTAATTTTACCGTTGACTGATGGAAGACTATAAGAGTTTATTTTTCAGAGATTTATGGTCAAAATGCTTTTAAAATAATTTCAGTACTTGGTATTCTGTTTCATATACACCTGTACTACCAAGTCTTAAGCTGTATCCATCCACAAGATTAATTTTATTCATTAATGATAAATTATCCTTTCAACTTTTTACCATATGCAGCGTTTGATAAAATGTTCAATTTAAAATTAAGATGAATGTTTTCATAGTAATGACAAATTTCCATTCTTATGGTACATTTGCTGTTTTGTTTGAAGTAAAGTGGTTTTTGAAAACAAATTTAAACAATTACTGACATTTGAAGATAAATTACCATGTAATGTTTCACCCAATTTTGACTGAAATGTTCAACTTATCATTTTTGACAAATGAATTGACAAACTTCAAAAGAAATGACCACCTCTTCAAGGGCATGTTTCCATTTGTCCCAATTGCATATTTAATAAATAGCCATTAATCTATCATAAGTATATGACAATTTTTCACACATTTAGCTATAAATTTATAACACAAGTTACAGTTATTTCTTTTTATCAATCTGATTAAATTGTAGATAGACTGAAATATATATGAGCAAAAGAATTTTACTTCATTGCCTGTACCTTGAATTTATGGAAAAATTTTAAATTATAGTATACATATCTATATAAAAAAATTTCACTTAATTTTTGTTTTTAAATCTCTCCAAATATACTAAGGCAAATCTTTGAGAAAAATATTTTATATAAAATACCAAAATGGACATTTGTTTAAAAATCAAATAACATTCTGTTAATCTACCATTATATGATGTTTGTACATATGTTATACCAGGTGATATAAGATTTTAAAATCGTAAAATAAATATTTTAAACATTATCTATCGTTTAAAAATCCAAATGTCTTTATTTTTTTAAGATTTCCCATTGTCTAAAATCAGAAAGTCTGTATTTTCTCAAGATCTTTGATTAATGTTAAAAACCAAATGTCTATTTTGAAAATCTAAAATCTTTAAAGGGGCACCTGTGTCACAATATTTACTTTTCTTTACTTAACCCAAAATTTTAAAGCTGTCAATTAAATTAACCAGTCATAGTAAACTAAGAAAACAAAATTTTCCCAACTGTAACCAATTTTTTAAAGGATCCCCGATTTAAGAAAGCCACATTTAATTATTTACCATTTATAAATAGGTTCAAGTAAATAAAATATACAACAAAAAGTTTGTTTTAAAATTAAAGCTATTTACACCCCTATGGGGCCCCTAATTTGTCGGTTACACCTGACCAGTAAGATAATTAACAGGTATCATTGTGTGACCTGTCAAGATTTCCAGTATCTCTATCATAGAACCTATAGGCTGGAGGGGCATGATACAAGATGACCAGTTTTACTGGATTTTTACTGTTAGATCTTTTACAAAAATGACTAATGAACTGTAATAAATGACAAATTAGCAGAAAAAGATATCATGCATTTCTTACATAATTATGTCGTTTAATATCTCATTTATTTTCTTGCTTAATGTTATGTTATTTTGCGAAAAAAAAGCCTAAACTGATATGAGTTTTTTGTAATATTTGTTCCAAGAACACAATTGTGAACATTTCCTGTCCATTTCATGGAAAACAAACTAAATAAAAAATGTCAAACTTGAAAATCAAAATAAACAATCATACATTTCTAACATCAAAATGTCCATTACTTTTTAATCAATTTCTTGCTTGTTGCATTATTTGTTCAGAATTAAAGAAAAGCACTTAATTTTAAGGGAAAAAAACATCTTTTCAAAACATTTCGTACTGCAGGTGTAGTGAAACATTTATAATTGAAGAGAGTTTCATTTTCTTGTGTTATCCAAAAAATATTTTTATTGCAATGAATTTTCCATGCTCCCCAAGGTAAACTCTACAAGTACTAAATACATAATAACAAACCTGTTTATCATTTGAGTTGGGACTGATACTTCGTTGGAAGCTGTTGTCGAAAGATGTGCCTGGTGAAAATGAAACTTCTTTTCTTTTCTTATCCGCACTTTCAAATGAATCCGGCAAAGATGTGTTGGAGGTTGAATTTTCAGAGTAACCAGTCTGCATCGGAACTCCTAGTGGACCATTTCCTGCAGTGTATTTCTGTTCTTGTCTTTTCTTGTCAATTTTCCACAAGAAATAAATTGTTAGTCCTATGGCTGCCGAGATAAGTAAAGTTACTATGACAACTATTATTGAAATTGTTATATACTTATTAGAATCACCATTAGCAGACAGATGTGTTGAATTACTGATGATAACAAGAACATTTAAATCGGCACAGTCAGAATGGACGGGATTCCCTGCATCTTGAACACATACTCGAATACTTTGTGAAGTATCCTTTGAAAAGTGGTACTGCTTGTTGAGAAAAAGTTCTCCAGATGTAGGATTCAAATAAAACATATTTGCTTCATTTCCCGAGAAAATATAAAATGATAATTGTCTATTGACACCGATATCCTTGTCCTCCGCTATAATGGTTGTAACAGGAAGTGATGTTATTGCCGTAGTAACAGTGTTATTTCCTTTTTTAGGGAATAAAATGGTTGGTTCATTATCGTTTACATCAGATACAGTTATAATTACTTCAACAGAATTATTTTTTGATGGACTTCCTTTATCAGAGGCGTAAACTATAAAACTATACTGACTGTGCTTCTCACGATCTAATATTTCTCTTGTTCTAATTGTTCCATCCAAAAGAACCACAAACGGTACAGTAAACTGATCTTTTTCCGCAATGGTGTAGGAAACATCCCCATTCAAACCATCGTCTTTATCAATAGCTACAACTGAACCAACAGTTTCGTCGGGTTTCAGACCTTCAGCCACCTCAAATGTAAATCTACTTTTATTGAAGACTGGTATGTTATCATTTTCGTCACGAATTGTCACAAGCACAGAAGCAGTTCCTGTCCTTCTTGGATCTCCATTATCAACGGCCAAAACATGAAACAGATAACTTGATTGTTTTTCACGATCATAGATATCACTAGCAGATATTACTCCAGTGTTAGAATTAATAGCGAATTTTGATACAGCATCACTGTGTAGAAAATACTGAATATCAGCATTGATACCGATGTCCTCATCCCTGGCCGAAACTTGTTTAATAGGATTTCCCAATTTATTATTTTCATCCACATATGCTTGGTATGAAGTCTTCAGAAATTCAGGATCGTTGTCATTATCATCTGAAACTGTTACGTTAAAACTTGCTTCGGCACTTAATCTGGGTGTTCCATAATCATGACAAACAATGGTTACAATATGAGCATCCAATTTTTCTCTGTCTAGTTTTTGCTTCACAACAACTTTAAATCCTTTGTCAGACACTGGTAATTTTTTAACATCAAAATACGGATTAGGTGTTGAACATGTCACGTTACCATTGTTTCCAATATCAGAATCTTCGACATTCACGTGAGCGACAAAATTATCGATGTTCGTTGCTTCTGACAGCATAACTACACCCCCAGTTCCAGCAGATGGTAAATTAATCTTGACAACAGGCTTGTTGTTGCCAACATCTTCAACTTTGACATTGACCTTGACCTGTGAAATCTGAGGACTAGTTCCATGGTCACTTGCCTCTACAATAATGCTATATTCCTCATTAGGTTCGTATACTAAATTCTGTAGGAGCGTTATCTCCCCTGAATCACTATCAATACGAAAGAACTGGTTAATGCTCTCTAAATCTGTCTGTACCTGACTGAAATGATACGAGACAAGTCCGTTTTGGTCTTTATCTGGATCATCAGCGGTAACTTTCAGAATGACAGTATTTGGTGGAACATCTTCCCGAACTGTAACATTGTACATTGACAGACCAAATTTAGGTGCATGGTCGTTTACATCTAGGACAGTAACATCAATGTTCAGTATACCAGTTTGTGGCTGTTCTCCGCCATCCTTAGCAGCTATCTGTAATGTGAATGTTTCCTTAATCTCTCTATTCAATGGTTGTTTTAACACTATATGAAGGAGAAAACTACCATCTAATTTTTTGGTATAGTTAAGTCCAAAAGGTCCATTGTCCGGATAAATATCATAATTTTGAATTCCATTTCTTCCAGTATCTTTATCCAATGCTGCTGGGACTGAAAAACGAGTCCCTACAGGTGAAGATTCTGAAACGTTTAATTTCATTATGGGTTGCGGGAAAGATGGAGCATGATCGTTGATATCCTGTACATGAACAGAAGTGGTAATCAACTTAAAAAAGTTTGTTTTTTGTGAGTTTGCTACAAATTTTAACACCAGAATACAATCAGAAACATCACTACATTCTGTAATGGTTTCTCTATTGATCAGCATATTAGTTTGTAACGCACCAGTTGATTGGTCAATCGAAAACATATTTTGATACAGATTGTCTCCAATGTAACCATAACTTATACTGTTGAATTCTTCGCTTGTCAAGTTTTCCGCCAATTTAGCCTCGGTAGCAATATTTCCTACAGGAGTATTCATAGGCAGTTCTTCCTGAATTGTGAACGAAATTTGTATGGTGTCGTCTCCAAAACATGTTATAATGAAGAGTGTCAAAATCGAAAGACAGAATGAATAGCACATGTTGATAAATCCAAGTTATATATTCCAAGTATATCCAATCTTTAAAGTTGACATTACATGTTCTCAGTTAAACCTGAAAAGAGAAAAACAAATCTAAATAAAAAATTTACCAAAAATAAAAAAAAAAAAAAATTTCCTGTATCATTACACTAAATAACAACTCAGCTATTTTTTTTTAAATTCACAAATTCTTAATTTTGTATCAACTCATCACTATGAAACCAACAATCTAGTACATGCATTGACAACTGACCACTACTGCATCATTTGATCTCTGTTGGAAAGTTCTCATTGGCAATCATAACACATCTTATTTTTACACTATTTACAGAGCTAAGCATTTAATACACAATACAGAAGAAACTGCCATGTAGTGTAAATGTTCATATACACTTTTTTCTGAAAAATATTCAAAAGTAGAAATTAAAGTGTATTTAAGAATAAATAATTCTTTAAGCAAACATACAACACTGTAAAACATCAAAACGTTTGAAAACATAAAATAAAGCAAAAATCTACCTTACATTTTTTTCCGTTTTAAAATCCAAAAACTAATTTAAATTCTGTTGGTAGAAGTCACAAATGAATTAAAAACCACTTTAATCAAGTGACCCATGCATCACTGTGTACTGACCATTCTACAGACTATAAACTGACCAGTCAATTAAAGACCCTTTCTAAAGGTGTAAATCCTCTTGTCCAAATGCTAGAGGCTAAAGCTTGAAGTTTATATTGACATAGCTTGATTGGTCAGATATTTACCTTATATCTGTCAAGAGGGATAAAATCTCTTCCACGAGTTTATTCTTCATTTCGATATTTCAATAACGTTTATTAACTGTATCCAGTGAAATCAACGTTTGACTATTTATTTTAAATGTATGTTCTTTAAAAATCCTGTCTTATTACACTGATGGATAATACCGAAACACAAACAAAATTTGTAATCGTGTCCCTTTAAATATCTTAAATCTGTACTACAATATATCATTGGTTTGTTTAAAATTCAATTGCTATGAAAGAAGTTTTTTGTCGGGTGATCATTCACATCAGCAGCGTCGTAAAATGTAAAAATCCACATTTTTTCAAGATGTCCTAATATCAACCAACCAAAAATTTAATTAACTCTTATGAATGTAACTTTCTTAATTCTTTCACTTTACAATCTTTTTGAACATGTCAATATTATCAGTTCAGCGTGATACACTCCTCTGTCAAAAATGAATAAAACATATAGCACTCTTCAATATTCAACTACTGTGTTTAACAATTCCGCTAATTTTCTACACTGTCGATAATTTGAGAAATCGGCAGGTATTAGCTCATCTACTTGATACCGTGAAATCTGTCACGCTGGGTACTGGTTTAAAAATATGATTCAGAATATCTCAAGCTCATTTTATCGATGTGACATTATTAAACTTTAGCTCCGCCCTCTCCATGGATTACTGGCCATGGGACTCAAACAAAGGGATGCGATTCACTTTTTAGTTATGATAATATCGGAAAATATAAATGATAGGTTACTAGCTTTTTATTATTCGATAATGAGAAAGAATTGATTTAAAGTTTCAGTTCATTTTTTTCATAAACGGTAGTAAAAGTGACGGTTACTTGTCATTTTAAATTGTAGGAAATTTAATAATTACAAGGTTAAAAATTAAATAGGTTCAAAGAGTAAATGAACTCAAAGCTCTCTTCATAATGGTCATTTCACTGACCATTCAAATGCCTTAACATTTTTCAAATTTTGAAGAAATCTAGCTGACAAAGAAATATGAAAATAAGATGTCTTGTACTGTTGCCTATTACACAACTCTCCACCAGAGACCAAATAATGAAAAAGTTCACTTTTTATAAAATTATCAAATTCTCAGTACATTAAAAGTTTTGAACTTTATGATGATGAGGAACATGCAAGATTTGTATACATATCTTTAAATTTTACATAATTGTTTAACTATTCCATTCTGTTCAATTTTGCAGCACAAGTTGAATAAAAGCCATAAGCATTTCATGAAACGAAGAGGTATCAGTTCATTACTCAAATCATTCAATTATTACAAATATTAAAAACAAACTATATATTTTGCAAAACAATGATGACCAATGCAAAAACTAAACCCTACCTTGTACACTGCCCAGACAAAAAACACATGTCATTCACTGACCAGTGTCCAATCCCCTTTACAAAACAACAATATAGCATTTATCAACTGAAAGGTCACTGAATTCCTGCACATTAAACTGCCACCTAGTGAGCTGACACAATGTGTTTTATCCCAAAAAACGACATGCATTTGTACAATGGTAGCCATACATCACAACCGTGAGCAATCGTTTGTAATAATTCTGTCATTCAACGATATTTGTCACACTTTTAAGAATTTGTCGTATACTTGTCAATAATTTTAGTGGGGAACATTACCTAACATGTAAAGAGTATTTATTACAATTATAGATATTAAATTATATTAACTAGGGTATTATTATAGATAATTTTTACGATATTCAACGGTAGTATTTCTTTTGACCTTTATATAACTCCCATAATGTGTATACAATTACAACTTATATTTTAAATTGCTATATACCAATATGACATGTTCATATATCATTATTTAAATTGGTGAAAACCTGGATAATGTACATAAAAGGTTTCATTCAATTTTATATTTTACAATTTTAATAAATTATAGTTAAACGCTTTTAATAATCACCACAAATTGCAAAGAAATAAAATGTATTGTATAAAGTTTCATAATTATTTTTCATTATTATTATATTTCTTTTTTTGTTGCATTCTTTTATAAAATATTGTTTCTATTGAAAGTGCATATTTAAACTTATCTTGAAAGTGGAGAAAAAAAAGCTACATATATAACTACATGTAATAATTATCATTATTATCATTTTTATCATCTTAACAGAGATGTATATATGTCTCTGATCTTTAATAACTAATAAAATTGTATATATATATGTACTTTTTCAAATCTGCACAAAAAAAGGTTTTTTTAACTTAAAAATTAAATGATAAGAATTTAACCAACTTTTCTCTCTTGACAATTCTTTGTAATGTTTCTCCTTTTGACAAAAGCTAGGATGCAAAATATGATTAATTGTCAATCAAAAATTCAGCTTATATAGTTCATTTCAACTTCAAAGAGAGTAGTTCTGGCCACAGGTAAAACTCAGGTAGAACTCACAACCTGCTTGACCAGGTGAGTGGTCATGTCTGACAGGTTACTCAGTGTGCCAAAGGGTCATTAATTTGTCCAAACATATCAATGATTATTTGAAAAATATTTTTGTAAACAAGTTAACCAGGTACTAATTGTGATTTAATCACCCATTATAATTTGTAATAACAAATTTATGATTTTTTAATCAACATGATTCCTATAAGGACTTATTAAAAATTTTATAAAAGTACACCAAGTCCAGAGATGCTTTGAAGTACATCAAAAAGGTAATTGGTGAATCAAACTTTATGATCATTTTATAATTTTAATTCCTCAAATTTTTCTACTTGAGTTAAATTTATGAGGTACTGGTTGAAAAAATTTGTAAAGACTTAGCGTTTTAATATTTCAAAATCAAGTTCTTAAATAAGTAGAAATTTTATAGTTACAGTTTTGATTCTTTAAACAAATGAAAATTGACACTGTTAAGGACATTTTTGTCTATGTGTCAAATAATTCACTTAAACAAATGGGAAAGATATGTCCATTCATTAGAATAATAGCTGGTATAGATCAATTTACTTAAAGTGGTAGATCTGGTCGCTAATTTTTCTGTTGTCCATTATTTACAATTCTTATATGACAAAATAAGAATAATATAAATAAATTATTAATTAAAGAAGAAAGGAAAAAGATCAAGGAGACGGCAACCCAATGACACAAATAGCCAACATAATTCCTTCGTATGCAAAGATTTTCCAGAAAGGGCAACCAGCAAAGAAATTGTTATGCCAACATGTATGTTGATATTCATGGACAAAAAGGTGCCAATTTTTTAAATGCATTTACCTAATGATTTTAATGGTTTTGTTGTAAATTCATAATTTATTCCATTTAAATGATCCATCATTCTTAAAATCTGCACTGTCTTATGTTTTTTTTAAACACAGCATTTTAAGTTATTTCCAATATAAATAACAACTAATTAATATTTCAACAATAAACAATAAATTATAACACCTTCCATGACATTATTACAACCTAAATATTTTAATTAAGGTGTGTCAATATGATATTTCTGCTATAAACATGTCATTACTGTATTGCTTAGCTTAAAACTAGTATATTTGTGTATTTAATATCCTTCAATGAAAAAGTGTGGTAAATATTAATTGATTCTATTATTTTGCTCCAAGGTTATGAATATTAATAAAGCTAATACTATTCATTGACCTTTTTATATGTAACTTGACTATGAGTGAATTGTATGCACAAAAATTGAATTACTAGAGATTCATTTGAAAAGAACCAGTTCATTTTTCAATGAAGTTTTGATGAATTGATTAATTTGTCAAAACTTACTTCATAATTATTTTTATCCTGCATATTCAACTATAAAATAATAACTATGAAACATTCATTATAGGTGAAGTGTCCTTCAAAAGATTGCAACTTTTTAGATCTATTTAAGGATTAACAAATGTGACCTGATGATTAAAACTGAAGTACCCTAACCATTTGTGTGGATCATCAATTTTATGATACATGTACATGTACTAATACAATTGGATAGAATGTTGCACAAACTTTCAGTCTGCTCTGGGACTAATTTTGGTCGCGGGTCTGATACAAAGGAAAATAAACCTACATTTTGGCCACAAGTAATTGCAAAACCAATTCATAATTTTTGTTCATTCTTTTATAAATTTTATGTACATTTACAATTTCATATTGAAAAACAAAGATGACATGACACAATTAATGATATGCATATATACAAGAAACGTACATCTGTATGTCATATTGCAAATCATATCCTATAACAAGACTAGCCCACACAGTTTGAATAGAAACTATTTACAAATATATTGTCAAAGCAATGTGTAATTATGAGAGACTGCAATTTCAAAGCAAGAGATAACCATTTATTTTATTTACTTTAATCAAAATTGACCTATCAACTTTTGAATTCAGCACCAATTAAAAATAATATCAATTCTAAACCCATAGAATCATTTTAATATTTTTTATTCTAGATGTAAAGTATATATTTACTGTACCTTTACAATTTCAAGGCATGGATGATATCCAATGTTGTTAATCAAATTAAAATTAGCATGGGTAATTTGCTATTAGATCATCAACAAGGGCCAATAACTCTGATTATCAACAAGTACCTGAGAAATTTAACAACTCACAAAGGGAGTGAGACAAAGAGACCTGATAATGCCTCACCTATTACAAAGTCAGTTATCACACCAAAAAGAAAAGGTAGATTACAAACCGACAAAAGACTAAGCTGAAAGCTCATTGACTAACAATGATGTAATAAAATCTACAAGGTAGATAGCCAGGTGTAATAAGCTTTGTTCTGACTTAGATACATGTACACATCGTCATGAAATCAACGACCCAAGTTTATTTACTGGATAATCTTGATTACCATACTTAATGATAAAAGACAAACAGATTGGTGTGACAGGTTCATTGTGAAGTTGATATTATTGTGAATTTTTGTTTGTTTTCTGGTAATGATTGAGAAAGTTTAATGAAAAGTGTCATATTTGTAAACATTCAATAAGGATGTCAAAACTAACAAAAACAAAGATGTTCCTGTGTTTTCATTGTAATTTTCTTGGTGTTTAAAGTTTCTCCTTATCACAGGAAGGAAGGAAGAAATTTTGATAAAAACTAGGATTGACTGCTTTTGCTATTGTTTTCAAAGATTAACTAATTTAACAGATAAAGGCAAAAACCCAAAACTGAAAAAAAAAGACAGCCCTTACACCTAAAATAAGGTTTTGTGTAAAGCTTGCTCCAAGTTTGTGTTTCACATTGTCCATCAATATTTTGTTTCTTCACTTATTAACTCCATTACTATCAAAAGATAGGCTTTATAGATAAATTATGTTCTTTTCGTCAATTATAAAACATATTCCTTTAATAGCCAACAGTCTTGGACAATTTTTTTATATTTCACCTTTTTACTGAAGCACCTCCTGTATAAGTGTGAAAGTAATAAAACAATGATTAATCATTAAACAAAATCTTTGAAAAGATTCTCCCAAAATTTTATGTTTTTAAGTAAATTTTACAATAGGTGTGCAACATTAGTAAGCCAAAAAAAATTAATTGTGATCAACAACAAGTAACCTAGGAAATGATTCATCAAACCTAATGAACAAAACAACATGA